AAATGGTTCCTTATTATTTTATTTTAATGATTAGGTTAATATTGTTTTATCGACGACACGTTTGGTCTAGTAGTTAGTAACGCTAGTCACAAGACCAGCCGGTCGCGGGTTCGAATCCCGCTAGGGGTAGATGTTTGTGTGATGAGCACGGATATTTGTACCCGAGTCATGGATGTTTATCATATTTATGTATGTTTATCCGTTATCTAGTATCCATAGTACAGGCTTTGCTTAGTTTGGTACCAGGTTATTGGCGTGAATGTCAAAAAAAAACAATTAAAATTTTGTAATTGTAATAATTGTTACTTTGAATACCTACATAGTACATAAAATTATGTGTAAAGAAAGTGATTATTTTTTAATAAAGTTTTCGTGTCAAAATAGTAAACATTATTACATTGTTTCCTTTTCTATTTCCTTCTACATTTTTAGCCAAGGACCTGCAGCTACACCTAAGTTTAGCCGGCTAAAGATAGAACAAACTAACATTAGCATTTCGTCGAAGATAAACCTAGGTTTAGCCGGCTAATCTTAAGTTTACGTTCACACCTACCTTTAGCCGTAACATATACATATTTTGCCTGTCTGGCTATCACGATTTATGAGGCCTGGTGACAGTTTGACAGGCAGCCGAACGGTGGAGTCTCAGTATTTGGATTCCCGTTTTTATCGCTCGGGTACCGAAGCTCTTTAAAAGTAGCAATGTCTACCTACACATTGCCAAATGAAATCTCTCGATCAGGGTGTTGCGAGAGGGAATGTCAGATTCTTACTGACTAAAAACCCCTTCAATTTTTCTCCCGGGGTGGCGGAACCTTTTTGTGCTTGCCCCGTAGCCCTAGCTGAACATTGGCCTGTCGGGTCCTGTCTTGATGTAGACCTTTTAAGGGCACGCGGAACGCTAGGCTGCTCGGTTCTGGTAGGGCGGCGAACGTTTACGCTGTCCGCAGACCCTTACAGTAGCAGGAGACCGCCTGTCGGGCCCCGTCGCCCGGAGCGTCCCCGTTGCGGCGGCTGGTGCGTGAAAAGGACAAAAGTTCCTTCAGACGTTCCTCCTTCTTTAGAAAATACATTATTGGATCTCTTTTTATAATAAAGGGAACTTTTAATTTTTTATGCCAAAAGATAAAATAACTAGGTTTCTTGAATTTTTGTTAATATCAAGGCTTATTCTTATTTTAATTACGTTTAGTTTCCTTAGGGTTGACTCAGGTCTTTCTCTTTCCTGTTTCAGTAAGCATCCTTATAATATAACCCTATCTACGTTTTCCGATCAAGAGAAAGAATGGAGTTTGTTGACAGTAAAACTCTTTACTTTTTTCGAGGTTGAATCATCTTTGCTTCTGTCTTCCGCGTTAATCTAAATACTACGTGACAAGGAAATATAATAAATGTGGTACCTAACACAATTAACTGAATCATTTACAAACCACACGAATATGGATGTAGGGAAAACTTTGAGCTGATTTAATAAAAGGCATCGGCTTGTGCATTTTCGACGAAATACCTGTAAGTAATTAAAATTGGTATTTTTTTTATCGAAATTGGAAAGTCCAATGACATGTGGGATGACTTTTGACTATCTATTTTACGGGAATGCCTATATTTTAGGTATGGAAACCATTACTTTAAGTGGCCGCGTCTTCGGACTGTAGTAGGAAAAGGAACAGAGGGGTTTTTAGTCAGTAGGAGTCTGTGTCTCGCCTCACCCTAGCCGAGAGGAGACATTTGATGATTTTCCTATCACACAAAAAAGATGGCGTTGCGGTGCACGCACAATAAGCTACCGCGACTTTCGCCTAAAGCAGGAAAAGAAATGGAAGGGTTTTTAGTCAGTAAGAGTCTGACACTTCATCTCGCCTAACCCTTTGCGAGTTTGTATTACCGAAGTGATACCACGTCCTCAAAGAAAACTGACATGAAACAACACAAGATTTGTGTTTTCCCGTCAGTAATGGATCTGGGAAGCCCAATCCCGCAGTCCTTAATCCTTCAAAAGATCAGTAATGTTTTTAAAACTTTTCTTGTGGTACAGACGGCGCCGATTACTTATCATCACGCAGGTATTTGAAAAATAGCGGTGTTAAACAAAAAATGGATGATATTATACTCATTAATTTTTTTTTGACGCTATTTCCAGATTTCATTTTTTTATGGTATAAGTCGGCAAACGAGCAGACGGATTACTTGATGGTAAGCAATCGGCGCCGCTCATGAACACCCGCAACACCAAATGAGTTACGAGTGCGTTGCCGGCCTTTTGGGGATAGGGGTTGTGGATAAAAGGATTGGAAAGGGATAGGGGAAGGATTGGGCTTCCGGTAACCTCACTCACACGGCGAAACACAACGCTGGGTTGTTTCACGCCGGTATTCTGTGAGGCCGTGGTATCACTCCGGTCGAGCCGACCCATTGGTGCCGAAGCTTGGCTCCCATACAACACCAATGATTTTTTAAAAATAGTAAATTCTTAATAATACATTTCTCGATTCGTTAATCGAATCAAATGCTTCTTTCACTTGTCACCAAGCAATTTGTCGAGTGATCTCATTGGTCATGTGATTAAAAAGACCAATGTTTATTATTACGTCGTTGGTCGTTCATCGGTTTAAAAGGTAGTAAGTCAACATAGGAATCAATTCTTGCAATTGTTTGTAAACAAATAATTTAGTCTTAATTCGCACGTCATTAAGTTTCGAATACTAGCTTTTGCCCGCCACTTTATTCGCGTGTGATAGTATAATAGTGACTTCCCGCAGATTTTTGGTTTAAAAACTAGCCCATGTCCTTTCTCAAGTTCCAAACTATGTCTGTACCAAAGTTCAGACAAATAAGTTCAGTAGTTTAGGCGTGAAGAAAAGACAGACAGACAGAGTTACTTTCGCATTGATAATATTAGTTTGGATGATATTTTCTTTACGTAAGTCTATAATGACTTCATTTAAAAAGAGGTATGCCTTTTTCATTGATCATCATCCTTATCGTCAGCCGATAAGTCCACTGCTAAGCAAAAGCGGAGAAGGATTGGGCAGAATGAAATTCTTTAGTCACGTTTAAAACTCGGACGTAAAAAAAATGCCACTAAGAATCCCTGAAATGGGGACCAAATTTGTAAAAGCTTATCGCGTACATTGGCCCTACTAATCTTCTTTATATCGTTCCAATTTTAGTATACAGGGTGTAAAAGGACACTTAACGAAGCCGTTAACTACGCATACTGCAGTTCTAACTAAGTAGCTTTACGCTAAAATTATCACTGGGAAACGACTTTTATTTTTAGGATCCACAAAAAAAAAAATTTGACTGCGCGCAATGTAAAGCAAACGGGCTTCGTGTCATTGTGTGCGTAGGTTCACAGCTAAGCTGTGATAAGTACGTACGTCGACGTTTTACTTCGCAACAACAAAACAATTCTGTAAAATAAAAATCCTACTGAGATGCACGATGTTTTTGTGCGGGTCTGCATTTATTTATTACGTACATTACTATTCGTAAATTCAAATGCGTAATTTATTTAGAAAAATCGAAAATTCAGGTAATGTTTGTTTGGAAAAAAGTTTTGTAATAATACTTAGAATTCGATTGCGCAAAAAAAATATTAAAATGCATCTTTGACCTTCAATATCTCGAGAACCCGTGGAGTCCCTAGCTAGTCCGAGCTATGGTCTTAAAGAAAAAAATGATCCAAATAATGGGTAGAATACGTGGCTTTCGGCTTCGTTAAGTGTCTTTTTACATCCTGTATGTACTGCTGAAGCAAGTGCGAACGTTAAATTCGTATTTCAAATGCTTACTCAAATAATAACTATTTTTTTGTTAGAGGAAAATCATCAAATGCCTTCTTTCGCCCAGGGTAAGGCAAGAGGGAGTGTCAGACTCTTACTGACTAAAAACTACCCCGTTCCTTCTCCTGCGCTTGACCAACCTCAGCTGAACATTGGCCCAATGGGTTGGGCACCAGTAACCTTCTTTTTTTTGTGAGGGGAAAATCATCAAATGACTTCTCCCGCTCAGGGTCGGGCGGGAGGTAGTGTCAGAAACTTACTGATTAAAAGTCCTCCCGTACCTTCTCTTGCTCTAGGCCGAGGCCTCCGTGCTTCATTGCGGCTGAACATCAGCCCTGTAGGACCCCGTTTGTCATGGTCTATTGGCTCTTCGAGTGGAGCGTTACGCGCCGTACGCTCAGGTCTGCTTCTGGTCGGGGTCCCAGTAACCTGGCCTTATAATATCTAATTATATATTTGAAATCATTTACGTGCCTTGAGTGAGTGTTGTTATTATTGCTCGTTTTCTCTGTGTAAAAAGAGGCCTTTGGACACTTGGACACAGCAGCACACTTTTAAGCTGACAATGATGACTTGACGTGTATCTAAATAAATTAAAGGTTATGGGAATTGCTGATTGGTTGTGGGGATTATCTTTTCCGAGAATTTTATAATATGGCTGTGATAGGTAATTATAAATAATGTGAAGTTTTAAGGAAAATGGTGAGAATTGATAGCCCTTTTCATCAAATGTTAAAGAATGTTCGAATTACATTGTGGAATTGTATTAGCTAGTTGTTTGTCGTGTCTATGGTTTTGCACCTACGTCGTTAATGTTGTTATTTTATTTTGTTTTTGTTTTTCAACCGAGTTTCCAAGTTTAAACTTTGGCCTTCTAAGCCTCAGTTTCTCTCTGGACGTTGCCACGATTGAATGTCTTTTGAAAAACCCATAATTTAGTGAAAGTGTTTAAAAAACTTTATTAATTAAAATATTATATATAAAAAAACGAATTTGTGTAAAATTTAAAAAGTTTAAAAAAATTTAAACTTTTTAAACTCAATCAAAATTAATACAATTGATTACATAATATTTTTTTGAACTAATAAAACGTGTGTGTTTGCCTGTTTCGATGATTATTTTGTAATACGTATGTGATTTACAAGGAAAACAACAGTACGTTACGCGAGCCAGCCATTGAAATATGAATGAAAATTCGCTTTGAGCTCATTCGCTGTACGCACCTCGGATTGTGCGGTCAACTATACAAGGTACGAACCTTGCAGTTGAACCGACAATCTACTCCTAAAGCCTTTTTAAGGTCAGGATAAAAAAGTTCCTACACATCAATACAGTTGAATTTACGAAACGAATTTAAAAAAAAATGGCGTTCTTTGTGTTTGTGCTATTGTGTGTTGCTGTTGCTGAAGTGAAAAGCGCGATTTTAAACCCGTGGAGCAAAGGTAAGGATTATTTGTGTTTTTTTAGTTTATAGTGATAGATTGTGATAAAAAGTACTTTCTTTAATTATTAGCAACTTTTTGTTTCTAATTTAAATAGTTTTAAAATATTGTTTGAAATTCACAAGAATTCTCACTTTGTATAATCTTCATTGTAAAGTAACAGTTTGACATTTTTTAAACACTACTATTTAGTTTAATTGCGAGTATGATAACTGAAACGAATTTCCAAAATTTCCAAAAAATCTTACAAAATATGTGAAACTGAGTGAGTTTCAGTTTTTGAAATTGATTTTAAGTTAATTGAACTGTTTCTGACTTGAACTTTAATGAAATAGAATCAATTTTTTCTAACATGTGTGATAAAGTACTCAGAAAACTTATAAATATTGAAAAACTTTTAAAATTAGTGGAATTAACACACTTTTTTTAAACTTTTGCTCGTTGTAACTGTCAAATCAATTTTTTTTAGTATTATTGTGAAAATGGGACTCTTATTATTGTTGATAATAATATATTTGTAACTGAATGGCCAATCGATTATAAAATACTTTTCTGTACAATTGCATTCGAGTGCAATGACCTCATAGTAATGCCCACATGATATTGTTGACAATCATCATGAAATCATAAAAAGTTGCCTACATTTATCAATCTAGACATTGTGAAGATATTTTAAGAGCTGTCTTAAAGAGTCTTAATCATTTGTTGGCCAGTATATAAGGCACATTAGAAACACTTTATGTCTCACTCCAGCATATATCGGGTTAAACCATATTTTAAATTTTATAAATAGCTCACGTGTGTGAAAAGAGAACGGGCTATTATTGCATTTTCATATGAAGAATATTACGCAAAATAGTAAATAATAATGGATATACTGTGATTCCCATAACATTATTTCTACTGATTTCCTCCAACCAATGACGTAGTTTAGCGGTCGATTTTATTATATTAGGTATGGCATAGGCACGCGTTTTCCTTATAATTATGTGATCCCAATAAATTGTCAAGAAGTTCGCGGACAAGAAAAACCACTGAGTAATTAAAGTCGTAAGGTTCATATTCGCATGAATTATGAATATGGATGTCTGATCATGTATGTACATTCTACATGTGCGTTATGTATTCTTAGCACAAAGAGCTTTAGATGATAAAGTTGAAGGTTAATTTCTATACACCTCGTATAGAAATTAACAAGCTTTGGGTATGATTACTCACTTATCTAAATTTGAGTCCGATATTTATGTATAGCAATATAATCTACGAGAAATTCGTGAACAGATATGAAAAAAAAAATGTCATGTTCATTCATGTAGGGACAACGAAGCGTGCCATTATGTAAATTTGTCATTAACAAAATTGGACAAGAATGATATGCATGTAGAAATCGAATGCGAGTTTGGTATCACATCTTAAGCTCTAAGAGCTTCATTCTTTGCATCATTTACGTCAGCGTAACCGAACAATGCGGATAAATCATGAGCACACATTATGTAAAACGGTTAATTACTAGCCAAGTTGTTGCTAATCGTTTTACAAGTAAACAACAATGTTTTATGAATGAACGAAGGCCGACGTTGACTGTACGCCTGTTCATTCATAAAGTCCGGGTAAATACCTAACGTATTATCAAATAAAGTTTTAAACTTTATTCGGTTTTTATTGATGAAATAATTTACGATTTCGGTTTAGTTATTATAGAAAGCCAAGTAAACATTTTATTTTATTTGCATGTAATATCAATATCATAATCTAGTTAGATTATGATATATATATGATGATAGTTAGATTATGATATTGATATTACTTGATATGGATGCATAAAAGTTTATTTTATTGTTTTGTAGTAATGTTTCCCAAAATAATAAATACCTAAATAGAAATGGAAATACAATTTAATGGTTTTTGATTACCCAAAAAGACACGACAAAGTTTTAAACTAAGTTTTAACTTAAAAAGAAATTTAAACTATTTTTTTTATTGTTTGTTACAGTTGAGGCCGTTGAATGTGGTGTGGAAGCAAGCACCAACTTGGTCCATCATAATCCTTGGCTGGTCTACATCGAGTATTGGCGTGGAGACACGGATACTGAAATCCGATGCGCCGGTACCTTGATCGACAGCAAGCATATCGTCACAGCTGCCCATTGCGTTAAGACTCTGAAGTTCAGTCGGTATGTATAATTTAACAAATTTATAAATATTTAAAAACTTTTTTAATATTTGAAAAAGTTTAAAAATATTAAAATTATTTAAAAAAGTTTAAAAATACTTAAACATTTAAAATAGTTTAAAATGTAAAAAAAATACAAAAAAAAAAAAATTTTTTTAATTAAATTTGTAGTTATAAATATTTTGTTTTCTTGTTTCCACAGTTTAGTCGCCCGTCTTGGCGAATACGACGTATATTCTGAGGAGGACTGCGTTCAGGGAGTTTGTGCCGACCCGGTCGTCCGGATCAATGTGGCTGAAATCATCGTGCACCCTAACTATAGCAACCGGGAACATGATATTGCGATATTAAGGCTTGAAAAAGAAGCTCCTTATACCGGTATGTATCTACATTTTTTTTTCACATATCAAATAGAATAAGTCACAATAGAAGAACAATGTGTACGCGAACGCCCATTCCCTTGGGGTTTAATGAAATAAAAAGATTTCGTATTAACTTTATTTAAAAAAATATTATTTAAATTTATATTTTATCACTAACCAACGAAATAATTAATTACAGATTTCATCCGACCCATCTGTTTACCTTCTGGCGATCTCGAGAAAGATACCCAGTTCTTCGCAGCCGGCTGGGGTGAGATCCCCACGAAAGGTTTCTTTAGCCACGTGAAGAAAATCATCCCATTGCCGTACTGGACAAGGGAGGAATGCCAGAGGGTATACCAGTACAATCACATCCCGGAAAACGTGATCTGCGCTGGTGGGGAGGAGGGCATCGATACTTGTAGGGGTGACTCTGGAGGTCCTTTAACTCGAGTGAGAGACACCATTGAGCTGTGGGGAGTGACCAGCCATGGTAACATCCACTGCGGCACAAAGAACTCTCCTGGCATTTACACCAGCGTCGCTGACCATCTGGACTGGATTAAGACTGTTCTCGATTCTTAAATAAGTGGAAATTACCGACTAAGGCATCGTCTTACGGCTTTCGAGTTTATGTAAATATTAATACTGACAAAATGTAAAAAAAATAGTTTTAAGATTTGAAAACTGACGACAAATGATCTCTTTAATCTTAATTTTAAAACTTAAAAAGCTTTATTTAAAATGAAATAAAAAAATGATAAGTACATTTTAAATGTGGATTATTTATTTTGTTTAGTTTAAATGAAATAATAATTGTGTAGTCTGAGTCTGTGCCTTACAAAAACCATTCCATGTACAATTAATATTAATATTTATTGTATATAAAATCACTTTATTTTAAAATGTAATTTTCCATTGACGAGAAATGTCTAAAATTCACATGTGCCTTAATTGCCACACACTAGTACTTAAAGGACCAACTTGTTGTAAGATAACTTAATTATTTATTATTTTAAAATCTTAAGGAGACAGCTAGTACCTCTCTCACACAAATAGTTTTTATAAGTGCCACAAGTATTCTCTTTACAAAATAAGAAAAGTAAATTGAATTATTAAAATGTCATTACATGTCATATTCAACGACTTTTCGATTTTGTCTTCGCTTTAATAGAAATAAATGAACAAAATATGGTTTAATAGAAAAAAAAAACAGTACAAATAATATTTAATTTTTGTTTTCATGATTTGTTTTTTTTTTATTTTACAATTAATTCCAAATAACAGTACGTTACAATACACCGAAAACATACCAGTGATTATTTGGGATTGTCTCAGAAAGTGGCGAGCAAGTCGTAAAAAATATTTATAAATTTTTGATGATTACTTTTATTTATTTAAATTACGAAGTAAATTACATTTGTAACCGGTTTTTTTTACAACAATTCGGCTTTCTCGATACTTTTATTGAAGACAGCATAAACAGATAGTGAATTAATATTTTTTGTACATTTTTAAATGTATTTATTTTTAAGTTTAAAATGTATTATTATTAAAATTGACTACAATTTTAAAATAAACAAATGTACATATCATTAGAAACGAAAAAAAAAAATGACGTGAAGGACAATAAATAGCGAATCATATGAACCTTTGTAATTTTATTTTTAAACACGAGGGACCCCGAATAGGTGTGTAAGTGCCATGCTTGCGGTACGAATGAGTCGGCTCGACCGGAGTGATACCACGGCCTGCGGCGTGAAATAACCATAGCGTGTGTTTCGCCGTGTGAGTGAGGTTACCGGAGGCTCAATCCATCTGTCCCTCATCCACGCACTCCCCAACCCCGATATCTCCGAAAACCTACTCCTTAATTCTCTGGTGTTGAGGGTGAGTGTCAGTGAGGGAGTCGCCTAACCTTAAATCCTTGGTATAAACACACTAAATTCTTGGTATTACAAGTGTCCATGGACGGCGCCTGTTGCTTACTATAATCGAGTAATCCGTCGGTTAATAAGATTTGTATTTTTTTTACCTTATATATTATTGATTTTTGACACGCAGAGCAGGAGAAGTCATTTGGTGACCTTTCCCTCACAAAAAGGGGCACAGACTGACGTCCGTATGAATCGGACTCGAATCGGATTCAAAATTATTTTCCGGAGACACGTGAAAATAGGTTTATAATTCTCATTTCAGTCTTGCACATTTGATCACGTTGAAAGCATCATACGCGAAAACTAAAACAATTTTAAGAAATATTTAGGTAGGTACGTTAGAAACTTTTTATCACTTTGATGACCTATCCATGGATACACTATATTAATGCACCGCAACCCCGGGCTGGGGTAGCAGAAGGAACGAGGTACTTTTTAGTCAGTAAGAGTCTGAAACTCTCTCACTTCACCATGGGCGATATAAACCATAAGATCATTAGATGATTTTCCCTCTTAAAAAAATGTATCTCATGAATTGTAATAGCTAGAAAATTTGGTGTAATATTTGACTTATAAATTTGTCGTGTTACTTTGTGTATGTGTATAATTATTTATGTAACGAAACAATTATGGTTAGTAATTATAGAAGATTTAAAATTAATTATCCCTATATAATGTAATAATGGAGCCAAGGACGGTCCGCGACTAATTATTATTAGACGGAACTACAGATAAAGCTATTACAGGTATGGTTAAGTGCCGAAACGTGGAGGCAACATTGGAGGTTAAATTGGAGGCAACATTCATGTAAAAACCACATACGCTCTGCAACAAATCCACTATCTATTCCTCAACACAGAACTGCGGCCTTCAGGGGGAGTTTCAGGTATGCTGCGACTCACTGTTGGAATAACCTGCCACCACCAATGCGAGGCCTGAAAACAAAAAGTAACTTTTTACTACACATGAAAAAGTATTTACAAAACCTACAGAACTCAACCTAACCTAACTCTCTTCATTATTTATTAATCTATTTATCTACGCAAATTACAAAAATTAGTATATATTTCTAACCTTTAAGGTCGCGGCCTTCCTGCAAGGGATACAGGCATCCAACATATATTGTCCGCGATTACATACTTTCCCCCTGTTAGTATAGCACACGTGTTTCTGCAAATAACCCTTGGCTGCATGCTGGAAACAAGACACACATTTACTACACACACCTACACAGTACAATCATACACGACACACGCTTTTGTTACACGATTACATGTTAATTTGAATAGCCTGTACTCACGCTGCTTTTCGCTTCAAAATGTTCATAGATATGGTGGGACGCCATCACGTCACCCAAGGATATGCTGAAAATCAGCGCTGTGGCACCAGTCCCTTGTGGTTGGGGTCTCAGCAAATGCTGAGCATGTCCATTTTTTGCGCTCGTACCACATTGTATTGTTAGTTACAACAACCGTAAGGAGGAAATTATCAATTTAATTGGATTAATATATGTTTTTCGTTATTGTTTGGTAAACACAAATGTTACTATCTTGTCCTTATGGTTCACAGATAATAAAAATACACGCGACCTCGCGCATACTGTTAAAATACTCTGTGGACCATAGACAAAACTTTTTGTAGACAAAACCTTTTGTTTATTTTTTCTTTTGTTATTATAATTTGTTTTTAAAAACCATTTTTTTTGTTATCTGTGCCATTTAGTTTAGATTTTTAGTATTATTTTATTTTCTTCTTTTTTTGTATTTTTGTTTTATGTGTGTGCGCTTGCGCAAAAATAAATGTTTTTTCTTTCTTTCTTTCTTTCTAATTTATTACATATTTACACAGTTATAAAGCATAATCTTGCTAAGCTGTTTTGGCGACCGAACAATGTGTATCAATGCTTGCCAACAATGGAATCATACAATTGACAGAGGTTAAGCTAAGTTTCAAAATCGCATGAAGACACGTACATTTATTGCTATAAGTAAAAGTACAAAGTTGAAGTGAAATCAAAATATTATTTATTGTACTTATGGGCAGGCATTTGGTCGCTGTGATGATGATGAGGTTGATGATGTGACATACAATGGAGCATGCATACCCATAAGCAATCTATTCACTCAGACGCCGGAGTCTGTTCCGTAAAGGGTGTCTCTTGAAGACACCGTTCTTGAAGAACAGACTCCAGCAAAGTACCTACATTTATTTCAACTAAACCACAAAAAAGTACTTTTGGAACGTCAAAAACAGGTTTCAAAGCAGTTATGCTCGCAAAGAAGAAGATGGATTGTGGCAGAGACTGCACATCCTAACTTCTCGCCCCATCCGATTCAGAAGACACATAAAACGGACTACAAGCAACGTTAGGGCCCGTCACATTCATTCCTCAAAGAGCAATCAGATCACCACAGATAGGAACCACTAGATCGAATGTTCAGCAGGAGAAGAAAGGTGGTATTTTTGAACTGCGGGAGAGCCATGGGTCGACACGAATGGCGTTGCCGTTCCCGTGCAACACACGCACACAACTAATTTCAGATTCTTGGTCTTTAAAACTATCCCTACCACTGCGCAATAGATTTATGACACAAAAAAAGAACACGCAATAGGTACATACTCTCTGACTGTCGTAATTAAAATGAACATTCCAAACTCACCATTGCTAGTGCAAACATGTTCGAACAGGAAGAGCTTGGTTTAATCTCGTTCCACGGGTTCAATTATTAGGATACGACGCGTTGTGAATCAGAGAACTAAAGTTGTCGACATAGCCCAAAATATTAGCAAACTGAAGTGGCAGTGGGCACGTCACATTTGTCGAAGAACCGATGACCGTTGGAGTAGACGTGTTTTGGATTGAAGACCGCGTCTAGGCAAACGTAGTGTAGGGCGCCCTTCAGCTGGACTGACAATATCCGCAGGCTGGATGGCAGTAGTTGGATGAGAAGAGCTGAACATCGATTTCAGTGGCGTGGAATTGGAAAGGCTTATTATTATTCCAGCAGTGGACGCAATCAGGCTGATAATGATGATGAGACTAAGGAATCAATCAAAATTCTGTTCGAATTAAAATTAATGTGTAAATAATATATAAACATTATTGGCATAGTAACAATTAATTAATTACAAATATCGGGAAATACTACCTTTATGTCACCGATGATAAGCGTCTCTCTAGCAAATTTAATGCACTTTTTTCCCTGTATAGTTTGGTACAGGTTGCGTGCAAGTATAAGCGTTCATTATGTACCAACGCACTGGGAAAATTATTGCTGGGTTTTTCGGTTGTTTTCGTTAGAACCATTTATGGGAAGATGCTCAATTTTAAACATAAACCAGATGTTCTTGGTGTAGGCATACAGTTGGCGCGGTGACTGGGCAATTGGCTGCTTTCGATTCCCGCACGGAACAACTCTTTGTGTGATCCACACATTGTTGTTCCGGGTCTGGGTGTTATGTGTATGTGAAATTGTATGTTTATAATCGTACCTAACATTCAGGAGAAAATATAGATCTTGTGCTAATCAGTACTGTAATGTATTTAAATATTATAGATAAGTTAGTTTAATTTATAAACAAAATATAATCCTACAGTAGGGCAACGAAGCAAATATAAAATTATAAAAAAAGATCTAAGCATTTTACCTATTCAAATTTAGTAGGGGTCAAGCGCAACATTATATTGCTGCCCCAGACTTGAGCAGATAAGAAAAGGATTGGTGTTTAGTCAGTAAGAGTTTAGACTTCCCAAAGCTAGAGAAAACATGTGATAAGGTTTCACCAATAACAAAAAAAAAACAAGAAAATTCCAATTCAAATTCGAAATAAGAATAAAAGATTTCGTCATAAAGTTGTTGGTAGGGTTCTCTGACCTTTCCTATCTGAGTTATTGAGAGTAGTCGCAGATGAGTTATTAATATTATGTATTATGAAAGTGACGTCATAATATTACATTTTATAAGTATTATGACATAGGTAATGTTGCGCAATATTGTGATTTTTTAAATTTTATAATACGGTAGAGGGTACAGTTTCTTCGTTACTTTTTCAACTTTCGTTTTTATATTGTATTTTTTTTAATTTGACTTATTAAAATCGTACACGTAGTAACTACTGCTTTTTATTCGTAAACAACAAAAAAAAGCAATTTCAATAGTTATTTTTGTTTATAACACTAAGACTTAACTGAAGATAAGCCTTGTATCTGTTAAATATGTACCTAGTCTCTTAGAGCCAGAAGTGAGAACAGATCTTAATCCAAAACATAAATCGGATAGGAAATGTTTAGCTTTAGTCGACTTTTAAGACACCAGCAGAAATATTTGAAACCAGATACCTAGCTATAACTACCTTACCATACACCGAATTTCAACCAGAGAAAAAATAACAAACATAAATAATATTCTCACAAACTTTCACATTTCTAATAATAGTATGATAAATATATTATTTATCGTCATCACACGACACCATTTTAGTCATCATAGGCCCAAATTAAAAACATTGACGAATTCATATTGGTTTTAATAAAAAAAAACAACCTTATACCATCCATTAGACAAGATGGCACACGGCACCTTTGTCAATAACGATGATTCAGAAAGGAGCCGTGTGCCTCATTTTATTTCGTACTGGAATGCCCCTACAAGAAATGAATGACGTTTGCAACGGGCAGTCCCTTCGTGGATTTAGTACAGTGAAGTGACTCAAGAGGTTCTTTTCTCACTTGTCTAATTGGCCAAACGTAAGCTATTACCAAGATAGAGGATTCCCAGTCCAAAATGTTCTGTGTGCTTTCTTTGGAGCCGTTACCGAAATATTTTTTCTACGTTATGGAATGGCAGGCGAGCAGACGTATTATCTGATGGAAAGCAATCGGTGCCCATGGACACCAGAGGAGTTACGAGTGCATTGCTGGACTTTTGGGGATTAGGATTTCGAGGTTTCGATTTTTAAACATTGGTATAGTAAAAACAGTCTTCTAACCAGTAGACAGTACAAGAAGACTGTTTCCGAAATTGTTGATTTCAAGTATTGTGGTAAATCTTAGTTAGATTTTGCTTTGAAGGGTAAAAAAGGAAGCAATCGTATAGTAATTTTATTCTACGTTTCCTTCCACTTGTGAACAGATAAATATCAGGTGACATGTCTTTACTATTTTTTCGAAACAGGAATGTGAAAATTGGTCGTTCAAGGTTATTCAATTTATTTTTATAAAGTTTTTGAGTTTAACGGACTTATTTCGTATTTCGAAATTATTATCTTATAACTGATCTCATTATTATATTTTAAGACTATTTCCGTCTTTAAAAAATGCATTATTAATTTACTAAATTGTATAAATTCAGAGATCAAGTCACAACAGGACTACATATTATTCATAAGCGGCGTGCATGTTGCAACGTCATTTTATTTGCTATTGCTATTTTGTAAGCCTCATGATAGGAACTATTTAAAAATGGATTAAAATCTATGAATTATTAGTTTTGCAGGGTTTTTGAGTAATTGAAAAAAAAAGAAAATATTTTCTACTTTCCAATTAGGTAATGAAGCGATTTTGTGTCGTCACTTCAGTTACCATAATGGGTATGTTACCATTCATTTTCCCTATAGATTAGAGGGCGCATATAAGCAAGGAACAAGGATTGGATTGATCATTAATTAAACTTAAGCCCACTTGAAACCACGTTATGAGGACATTTATTTATTTAAAATAAATTTTACGTATTTTTTTTGGTGCAATTTTAAACATATCTATGATTCGTTTATTATTGTTATTAACATGTGCAGTAGGAGTATGGACTTTTAAAATACAAAGTGGTGAGTTTTTTTTAAATAAAAAAAATGATTTATTTTTATTTAAAATGAAAATTGTTTTTTTTTTGTTTTGGTAATTTTTTTTTTGTAATTTTAAATTGATTGTTTATTAATGTTAAAATTGAGCTCTTCAGAGATTATAGCCAATATTGTTTTACTGGAACTTTCACTAATTTACACTTGAATTTCCAGTACCATCCTGTGGTGTGGAAGCAAGTTCTAATCTCATACACCATAATCCGTGGTTGGTGTACATTGAGTATTGGAGAGGTGATTACAGAACATATGTGCGGTGTGCTGCTACCCTGGTAGATAGCAGACACATCATCACTGCAGCTCATTGTATCAGAACCCCAAAATTTACAAGGTAAGCGTCAAAAATATTTTTTATTTATTACAAAATAGATTTTTTAGTTTCATCATTCCTATTGCAATTTAATTTTAATTTTAGAACACAAAAATAAAAAAATAAAATTTAATAAAAACATTTAAATTAGTTTAAAAAAAATTATAAGTAAATAGTAAATATTAAAATTTTGTGCTCTTCTTTACGCTGTTTATGACAAAAACCTATCAGTGTTCTGGGGACGTCACATTTTACCCATTACGTCAATTGCCGGTAGCGACTGCGGATTTCCTCTCGCACATTCTTATGTATTGTGAAGATTTTGTAATATCACTCGTAACCTCACAAATTTGAAATTTAGTTTTCTCCAAAAATCCAAAATTTTGGTGTGATAGAAGCGTAGTAGACTATTTCTCTGGGCTAAACAGTAACATATGTGGTCATATGGGTTTCCCAAACATGTATTATGGATCTAAAGTATAATTAAATAAGCTACCTTTTGTAGTATTGTAATTATAACTATCTCGGTTTCGGAAATACCGCGAACAGAGTAGGTTAAAAGATTAAATTTAATATTTATTAGGTAATATTTCATTACTTCATTTACGGACTCATAATATTATAAAATATATTATCTTGTTGTTATGCGTGAGAGAGGAAATTTATAGATTTAATTGCTTAGTAAAATTATTCTATAAACTTTTGGAAGATTGTCGTTGTGTTCCATCGATTTTGTTGTTATTATAATTATACATATACGCGCAGACTTTCGAACACATCCAAGTATCCGATTCTGGTGTCCAAATAAAACAACTTTTTCCATAAGACCAACATGACAACTTCAAAACAAACTTTTACTTCTCCATGTAAAACTATCAATCAGCTGTTGGTGATTTGTATGGGGAAATCAATTTATTTTTGAGATTTTGATATTGGTTGCCATGGAAAAAGTTAATGTAATTGAGCACTAAAATCGGCTCCTTTAATAAATATGTTTCTCGATCAAAATATCACTGTGTAAATTTTTTGAAAAATTGGTCATATTTTTTACCATTATTTTTTCTTTTTCATTCTAGATTAGTAGCTCGTCTTGGCGAGTATGACTTGTCAAAAATTGATGATTGCGTTGACGGGATCTGTGCTGACAAGATAGTCAGGATCGATGTGGAGAAAGTCATCGTGCACCAAGATTATGATGGAAGAAGTCATGATATTGCCGTTCTGAAGCTCGCAGACGATGCTCCTTATACCGGTAAAAACCCTATTTTCATAACATTAAGTTTCAATTTTGAATGTACACAAAACAACACGCATATAAAAGAAATGCTGAACAAAAATTGTTTTCAATTAATTGTGTATTAAAGTTCATTTTTCATTGTTACAGAGTTCATTCGTCCCATCTGCCTACCAAGTGGCGAGCTTCGAATGGACACAATGTTCGCCGCTACGGGATGGGGCGAGATTCCTATGCAGGGGTATTATAGCTCTACCAAGAAGATCATCCCTCTACCATTGTGGGGATCTGATGAATGCAAGGCTGCATATATAAATCTAATCGTACCTGAGAACACTATCTGTGCTGGAGGAGAAGAGGGTATCGATACTTGTAGAGGAGATTCAGGAGGGCCGTTAGTCCGATATGAAAAAACAGCTGAGTTGTGGGGAGTGACCAGTGCGGGAAATAGCCACTGCGGGACGAAAGGCTCTCCGGGCATCTACACTAACGTTTTCGTGTACCTGCCATGGGTTAAGGATGCTATGGCCGGGATCCACGACGATAAAGCTGAAAAATTTGATGTAGTTTAGTCGTAAGGTAAAAAAAAGACTAAAAATGTTTAACGAAAAAACCTCAAAAATACTAGATTTAAGTGTAAACACAAAAAATAAGCTTTAAAAAAAGATAAATAATAAAAAGTGCCAAAAATATAAAAAAACAAGGCTGTAAAAAGTGAAAAGGGAAAGAGATCCTCTTTCCTTTAGATAAAAAATATCGATCTTGTTCTAATCAGTACTGTAATGTATTTAAATATTATAGATAAGTAAGTTTAATTTATAAACAAAATATAAAATAGTTCCTATTTTAAAATGTGCCAAAAAAAGAAAAAATAAGTTCCTAAAATAACTAATCATAAGTATGAATTTAATTTAAATAAATTATTTAATTTATTGAAGAACTTGTTTTATTTTTATAATCTAGGATTCCACGAAACAATTTGTAGAATTTTGAGATGTTATGCGATTTTTTTTATTTCATTCACCTTGTTTCACCCAAAGGCTGTCAGATATATGTAATGTGATGTAAAAGTAAAAGCAACTTAAAAAAAAAAGATTTAAAGGAGTATCTTTTAAAATAAAAAAAATATACATATATACGTAGCGTTCCGAACGCGTCTCGAAGAGCCAATAGGTCACTACAGATTAGGCCCTATAGGACTGATGTTGAGCCGGGGTTGCAGGGTAAGCTCAATGAGGCACCAAGACGTCGACCTAAAGCAGGAGAAGGAAGGGGAGGGGGGTTAAGTCGGTACCTAAGAGTCTGACACTCCGTTTTGTCTCACCCCGGGCGGGAAAAATCATTTAATAATATTATCCCCCACCAAAAAAAGGTGCGGGCTTTTCAAAGTTTTTTTATGTGATAGGTGGACCAACGTGCAAAAGGATTATCTGATGGTAAGCGATCAGCGTCGCCAATAGACAACCTAGAGGAGTTACGAGTACGTTGTCGACGGAATAGAGAAGGATTGGGCCTCCGCGCCGGTAACCGCACTCACAGGGCGAAACACAATGCTGTGGTTATTTCACACCGGTCTTCTGCGAGGCCATGGTAGCAATCCGGTCGAGCCGACCCATTCGTGCCGAAGCATGCCTCTCCCACATTTAAAGCAAGGCATACGAAGGTGCTACCTCTTTATTCTTTCGCTATATCTTTTTTGTTTACCAAATTGTGGTTTAAACTTTTTAAGTCTCTGTCTCATCGTAGCACCTACATCTTTTAGTGATTGGCTGATTTGTTTTTAAAGGGGGATGGGAGTGAGAGAGAGTGTCAGACTCTGACTAAAAGCCACCCCGTTTTCTGCACCAATAGGAGACATCATTTCCGATGCACACGCAAAAATATTTTGTATCTGTCCTTCGAAATATGACATAGAGTTCAATATTCCGTAATTATCTAACTGTATAACTTAACTGGTAAATAGTATTATAATGATTGCCTATATTGTTGGGAAAAGCCAAATTAAGTGTTTATCTCAAATCTTTTAGGTAAGGGAAAAATATTCTAATTTTAAAATATTTTCTGTTTTTCCAAAGTTTTTGTTTGTAATTCCAGAATCTAATTTAAATTTAGAAATAGGTATAGTTCATTCTTTGTAGTTAAGGTGCTCGCTTCTCATGCATAAGGCGAATTTTTTTCGAGATATAATTGTATAGGTACTTGTTTTCACTGCACGGTTAGTGCAGGCTGGGCAACTGGCAGCCGTGCAACGTGTCGCGGGTTCGATTCCCGCACGGAACAACTCTTTCGGGTCTTCAACTTCCGGGTCTGGGTGTCATGTGTATGTGAAATTGTATGTTTGTAACCGCACCCACAACACAGGAGAAAATAATAACGTTTTTATAAAAACTATATAGGTACTTTCTATGATGGTTCATAAGACAATATTGGCATACGGTGAAGGAAAACATCGAGAGGAAACCTGGACTTATTATTTCTAATTATAAGTTTGGAATCGCCAATCGGCCTTGAGCGAGTGTGGTGATTAATGCTCAAACTTTCTCCGTGGGAGAAGAGGCCTTTGCTTAGCAGTATGCACTTGTAAGCTATCAACGATGAGTAGTGAGGAGAACAATTAGGCCTCCGGTAAACTCAGTGCTACGGAAGAAAAAAACACTTAAGTCATCATCATCATCATCAGCCAGAAAACGTCCACTACTAGATAAAGGCCTCCCCCTTAGCTCTCCGTCGAACGACAAGTTGCCACCTGCATCCATTGGCTCCCCGCGACTCTGACGATGTCGTCTGTACACCTAGCGGGAGGCCTGCCCATTGCTACTTTAGCCTGCAGATTCTACGAGCTATGTCGGTGACTTTGGTTCTTTGGCGAATTTCCACATTTCGGATTTTGTCGCGGGAATAGACCCCGAGCATTGTCTGTTCCATCGCGCACTGAGCGATTCTGAGTTTTTCAAGAAGGTCAGAAGTTAAGGACCACGTTTCAGTACCATACGTCATCACCGGCAACACACACTGGTTAAACATCCTGGTCTTCAGGCACTGTGGGTTTTTCAATGAGAAGACATCGTGTAACTTCCCGAACGCCGCCCATCCGAGTTGGATTCTTCGGGCGACCTCTTTCTCGAAGTTGGACTTACTTAGCTGATACACACATACTTAAGTGCTTATTTTTATAAGGCTAAAAAGGATAGAAAAAATGAAACCAATTATTATTCATTCTAACATTTATTCGTTTCATATCTAGATCAAAATTGTATAGAAACGGAACAACATTCGTTTAAAATAAATATTATAATCAGTCTTTTTGTAGATATATTTTTTAGCAATTAACACTATAATATTATTATTAAGTATATTAATTTATATAAAATTCGACTTAACATATAGATTTTGTTGTTCACATGTGACCATTTTTAGCCAGAAAAACAATGACTCGAAAATCTTACAAAAAAAAGAACAATTTTGTTCAATGAATTTAAAATAAATACTAAAGTTATTTTATTACTTTTAAATATTAAAACATTTGGAAATGTCTAAGCAGTACAAGAAAGGGAATATATATAAAATTGAAGTTTATACAAATCTAACAAAATAAATTTTGAACCTTATTATTTTGTCTAAATGTTGAAATTTATCTTTTATACATAAACTAGTGACCCGCCCAGTTTCGTACGGGTGCAATACTGATACTTAAACTCTTCATTATTTATGGGATGTTATCATAGATATACCTAAATCTTCCTCGCCAATAACTCTAACTATTAAAAAAACCGCATCAAAAACAGTTATGTAGTTTTAAAGACTTAAGCATACATTTAGACAAAGAAAGAGACTTTGTTTTATACTATGTTGTGATTTGCAAGTTTTGGCGTCAAATATTTATGAATAACATTTAATATAATTGGTAACACGGCTTACATAAGGAGTTTGAGGAAACCATTCGATTGGACGCGGAGATATACCGTGCTGTCAGCGTCGTTCACGCATACTAATAACAATCATGAGCCCCGGTTTTAGCTAGAAATTGCTCCAGCAGTCCTCGAATAAATCATTTCAGTAAGCCGTATTATCTTTACTTTTTTTTTTATGTAATATGTCGGCAAACGAGCAGACGGATTACCTGATGGTAAGCAATCAGCGCCGCCCATGGACACTCGCAACGGAGGAGTTACGAGTGCGTTGCCGACCTTTTAGGGATTAGGGATTTGGAGATTTAGGGATTGAGGAGGGATTGGGGAAGGGGAAGGATTGGGCCATCGGTAACCTCACTCACACGGCGAAACACAACGCAGTGGTTATTTCACGCCGGTTTTCTGTGAGGCCGTGGTATCACTCCGGTCGAGCCGACCCATTCGTGCCGAAGCATGGCTCTCCCACAATTTTTAAAGGACCTACACACACCTACCAAGTTTAGTCCAAGAACAGCGAGTCAACAAACAAATAACAGTATTTGAAATTCATATTACAAGAAAAAACAGATTCATATTATAAGAAAGTAATTTTACAAAAATATCATAATATTACAAGAAAAGTCAATAAAATGAAATATACTAATTTGACAATTATTACGTAACATTTTGAAAACTATTACGCGATATTACGCATTACACGAATCTAAATAATGACATCACAGGAAAAATAATTAAATGTAAACAAATGATAGAATCATAGATTTAAGTAGGTACCTAACATAATAATATTGTTTTTTGGGTATTTCCTAGCTCACTATTAACGCACAAACCATGACAGGATTAATACGATTTATCACAGAAATGTGTTTGAAAAACATTGCAAAAATTAGTAAGTTTAGTAATTAAAAAGATAAAATTATTGACGTTGGGCATTGACTAAGCACCAATATTGAATTCATTATATTAGTGTCGCGCTTTTTACTCATGAATGTGATACAATAAAAGGAAATTGCTTTAAAAATGATATATTTAAATGTAATACAACATTTTTAATAAAAAATATTGTACACATTTCAAAGCGTATCGCTTTGTTAAACATGATCTGAATTGTATGTTATCTTTGTATTTTATAGGTATTATATATTTCGTACTTGTAACAAATAAAAAAATTAGTTTTATTTGCAAACCAAAAACTACATAATGCGATTTCGTATAAAAAGCACGTTATAATATACTTATTTCCCTGGCATTATCTGAAACAGATATGAATATTATGTTTATAGGAATATTCATTAATGAATGTGTGTTTTTTTTTATTTTGGAAGATGAAGTAATTTATTTTTAACAGAGGAAACTTCGAATAAGTCGCTTGTTTTTACCAAAGATATTGTAAAGAGTGTAACGAGAATAATTATACTCAAAATCACTTTATAATAAAGGCCTTATGATTTATTTTTCTGTTGTTTGAAGTACAAGTACCTACGTCATTTACATGCGGTTAAAAGTGGTCACTTGTGTAACAAATACGCATTAATATTGAAATAATTAAGACTAGATATACAGCGGTTCCATAGATAATATATAAACATTTATTTACAATTGTGTAAAACTTGGGTTTCTTAAAAGAAAAGTGAACTTTGAAATATGAAAAGTACCAGGATAACAAAGCATCAAAGGAGTTTAATTTTACGATGAAAACTTGACAAATTCTAATGATTTGGCAGCTTTCGACTATTCATGGAACCCTAGTATAGAATCTAGAGCCCCAAAAAAGAATTCAATACTTTTTTTCGGCAATAAGCGATTTTGTTATGTCAAAAAATAATTTAATATACATTGTGACTTCATTCCTTTTTGTGTTAAGTTTTTTATGAGTCTTAAAATATTAAAACTAAGCTTGAATGTAAATAAATCGATGAGATAATTGTTATTTTTAGATAATTTAATAGTTTTTGTGGTGTCAATTCATTTTTGATTGAGTCATCGTCTCTATTGGTGATTTTGATTGACGTATTTAGAAATACATAATTTCCCTTTCTACTTCTACACAATAAAAAATCACATTGTAAGACTCCATTCTGTTTACTAGATAATTATATAGTCTATAAATCGATTGATTGATTGCCAATTTTTTATCTAGTAAAGCTTCCATTTTTGTTATCCAGCAGATGATCTGGCGAATGGTTTTGTTGATTAATAACAATCTATATTAGAATGCCTAGTTGAATACAAAAACAATCATTTTTTCCTAATGTATGCATACAATATTTTATAATGACTTATATAAAAATGGTACCGAAACACAAACACAGTTTCACAAAATTCCAAAAAAAACCCAAGTATTACATATTTTTGCACCATATTTGGGCTTCCACTCTCATACACAATCTGAATTTATTTATTTTGACATTGCATTCTCATTTTTTAGCTTTATGACTCAAAGAATGACTGTAACAATATGGACAAAATTCACGAAGCCTTTATTATAAAAAGTTATTTAATATGTACATTATTAAAAGGTAACTCTATAAGCGAATGACTTGGTTACTATGTAATGACTTCAAGCTTAAACTAAACTAATTATGCTATTATTATTATTATATTGATTATCTGGCAAATGTGGATAAAAGCTGCATCGCAAGAATTTTGTCCGTAGTGTAACAAATATGATTTATTTTTTTAAACATTTTTAGTCTCAAAGTCAAATTTTGACTGATTTATTTTTAGTGTTTGACTGACTTATTTTTGTGTAGTCATTTTAGTATTCGATTTTTTTAATATTGGTAATGCATGGATTAAAGAAGCAAATAAAAATATTTATTGTAAGAACTTTATCCAAGATTGCTTTGTTTATTTATTTTAATTTTAAAATCGATAAACATAATTAATTTAAAAGGTTTACGTCAAAAATAAACTTCTTAAAGGTTTCAAAAATCAAATAAATTATGTGTAGCAGTTTTAAACAACTACATTCTACTTAAAAATAATCAACAGAGAATGAACATAATTTAGATATATATTCTTTAAATAAATATACAGTGCAAAAGGCTGAGTAAAATTAATCTGTTATTGTCACAATCAAATAATGACCAATGACTGATTTTTAAAAAGTCAAATAAATTTTATCTGAGGAATAAAATTGTTGCTGTCACTGTCTTATACAAACATTCTGACGCGACAGCATCGTAATTATTCCCCAGGTAACATTTATCTAACCATTGAAAAATCAGCCCTAAATTTTTTAGTGATGGTGTTGTTAATGGTTGTGATTCAATGCACATTATTGTGCGAATTAAAAGTCAATTCTATTTTGTGACATGACAGTTTTATTTTTAAAATTCTTAGAAAAAGAAGGAAGGAAGACTTATAAGCTTTTTTTTTGTAACAGACGATTGATTTCATACAAGATAAGTCAACAAGAGATAGGTAATCCTCAAAATGTATTTTATTTTTAAAATAAATAATGATTTTCACATTTTTGTAATAAAAGTCACATTTAATAAAAATCATAGTTTTCCTGTCATTGTCATGCTATGCTTATTTATATATCACGCGAAATTTTTTTTTTGGTTAACCATGACAATTGCTTCGTGATTGAGTTTACCTTTTTAGTTAAGTAATTTTTGGCAACATCTAACACAATTGTTCGCTTTGCGAGTGTCATTATTTTGGCACAATTTTTTAGTAATTGATTTTAACTTAAACATAATACGCCATGGGGACATCATGTGGCCCATGCTAGAGGAGGATTTGTCCTCATCATTTCGGCAATAAATGACTTAATTTAAAAAAAATATATAAAGTTTTCACATCAAACCCCAACAAATTAATTATCATTTGTTTTTTATTAAACTGACTATTTGCCGGTTTCCGAAAGGCCGATCAATGTAAAAATCAATTTAATCTCTTGTCAAGTCATCTGATTGGTTGACTGAATTATCAACAACCAATCAGATGACTTGACAAGAGATTTAACAGGAGATTATTTAATTTTAGCGTTGACAAGCCTTTTAGAAACCGGGTGTATATCTTGTAAGCTGTGTATTGAAATTACAGAACTGATTTCATATAAGCTCAAACAACACATTTGTACAAAATGTATTTTTATTTATAAAATAAAAAATGATTTTTACGTTTTTGCTGTCATAGTCCCATTTAATAAAAATCATAGTTTTCTTGTCATTGACATGATGTTTTGTTATATTACGCAAAATAAATATTCTTTTTAATTATTTTATTTTAATTTTGATTATAGTGAGTTTGAGTAAATGTGATGATACTTTTACTGTAATAAGGAAAAATAATAATTTAGAATGTGTAATTTTGTTAGTTAAGGAAAAGTTATAGTTATTTTGTCAGTCAAATTAATATTTTGTCAGTATGAATGGATTTACGTCATTACAGTTACAAATAGAATATCTCAATCAATGGTGTCATTAAATTTGTATTAGTAGGTAGCAGCTCATCAACATACCCCTTTTTTAAATTGGTTTTCAACTTTATCACTATGTCACAATAAAGTTTATATTGTATTGTAATTTGGTGATAACTTGATGTGCCATTGTTTTTTTACAAGTTAGCAGGATATGAGGTTTTTTTTTTATATGAGGTGGTCATTTAAGCCGTAGTGTTTTAAGAAAGTTCTTTGTTACCTAGTTACCTATGGTGTGGTGTTCTGCAGGCTTCTGGAAGCAAAAAAAAAATAGTTAAATTACTTTTATCTAAAAACCACAATATTATTATAACTCAATATCGCATTAGAACTCTCTAGTTCATACTGTTTGACGACATTATTAACCTTTGTGTTAAAATAAAATTGTGGTCTACAAATTATTTTCTAAAAGTGACCACATAAAATCTGTATTAATATATTCAGAAGGCAAATAATTTCAGAACATTTCGAGCAGATAGTTTACCATGTGCTCGTTTTGCTTACGTGCTTGGTCAGCAATCAGCGCCGCCCATGGACACTAACGAGCCATTTGCTCGAACTAAAATATAGATTCCTATGGAGAAGAATGTACAGGAACCTCCCAAGTAACTGTTTTATTGGATTTTAGCTAGACATTAAAGAAAATGAAGTATGAACTTACTTCTTGGCACACTTTTCAGTGTGGACTTTGATATGCTGTCACTGTCCTCGGACTCTGAACACACTTGGAAACTTGTTTCTGAAAGAAAAAAAAAAGATTAGGTAAAGAATTAAAAGCTCAAATTGAGTTTTAGGCTTCTAATTCCGTTAACTCCCAGATTAACCGTAAAAATCCCAGAAAGTGTCAGTGAAATAGCCTAAGGACTTTTTCAAGGCGTTACATTGATTTGGCAATAATTAGAATTAATTTTAATCAAGAGTATCTTTTTTTTATTATATTAAGAGTATTTATTTTAACATTTCTCAAATTTGACTATATACTTTATACTACGGGCTTCAAGCTCAAAAAAGATTACGTCATTGTCCCATTACGTTTATTGTCGCGTTCCGCAAGCGAGAGCGCGGCACTAATGAGAGAGAGGCATAATAGGGATGTCTCCTGGGTTAAAACATCACGATTCTAATTAGTCCGTCAGTTAGATTATAGAAAAATACTCGATACGTATTTTTTTATCTGTCCATATGAATAATCTTGACAAAGATACAGCACATTCAAATTCAGGAGTAGGGGCTCGTCACGTCAATCTTTCGTAAAAAATTTACGAAATAATGACGTAGCGCGAACTTTTGCCGCTCTGTAACTTTGTTATTTTAAGTTTTAGAAGCAAAAGAAAAAATACGTAATTACTATTTTCTGGCGTTCTAAAAGATGGAATAATAATTATTTTATAGGCCTCATCCCTATTGGCTCCGTTCGGTTCGTACTACTATAATGTTTGTCACGTCAAACTACCTTAAACCGACTTGTCTTCGTGCATGCGTCCCATAGTATTGAGTTTATTACCCCGTGGTTTTGTGCATGCAGCTTAACAGGCATTATGATTGGTAATTTATAGAATCAGGCGTTACTTTGCGGAAATCCATGACATTAAATGTTAGGGAAAATATTTAGTTTCAATTCCGCGACAAAAATCCAGGCTTGTTGCAGGATGCAATCCCACTCCTATGCAATCATGCATATGCACATGCAGCAAGGGTCCCACCCTCCCGCCCACATGCATATGCACACATACACAAAACGGAAAAACATGCCACGCAATCAAACCTATACTCGACACGTGTTTCGCCCCTCCACAGGGCATCCTCAGGAGATGTTGACTCGACGAGCGCTCGGCTGCGAATGAGCTAGTACGACAGCTCTCGCCTCTTATATAGTGTCGTGATGACACATAATCGATACAAACGTCTTTGTATCGATTGCATCGATTACACAATCGATACAATCGACACAAACGTCATTGTGACGCCTGCATCGACTATGATCTACCTGTAATCACACTTAAAAGAGGGGATGTAATTAAGTTTGTTTGCTCATTCAACAGTGTAAAATTACTATTATTATTATGTTTGGAGATTTCTAACTGCTCCAACACACACAACCGGAAATTTTTATCACAAACATGCAGAATAGTATACGTGTTATTGTCGCTCAAGGAATGGCCGGTGTCAATTAAATGTTTAGCGAAATGTGACTTGTCTGGATGGCCATTCCTGTAAGCGGCAATATGCTCCTTAAATCTAACCTCAAAATTACGGCCTGTCTGACCCACATAGACCCCGTTACATTCGTTGCAAATTAATTTGTAAATACCGGATTTTTTTGAATTTTGTAATTTATCTTTACCGTTACAAAGATTACGTAAATTGTGATCTGATCGAAAAGTAACGAAAACATTGTGTTTTTTAAGAATATTTGCGATTTTATCAGAAATGGGGCCTATGTAAGACAGACTACCGACATACTTGTTAATTCGTTCGGGGGTACATGCATAAAGTAGTGAGCGAGCCCTGTCATTCTGTTTTTTCTGAATAATATTATCGATAACTTGTTTTGAATACCCGTTTGAAATCGCGATTTGATATAATATTTTAAGTTCTTTGACATAATTATCTGTGGAAAGTGGGACTGACATTAAGCGATGGACATAGCTGCGGAAGGCTGCTAGTTTGTGTTGTGATGGGTGACAAGAAGAAGCGGGAATTGTTGTGTCGGTATGAGTGGGTTTACGGTAAATTTGGAAATCGAGTTTGTTATTAACTCTAGTGATTGTTAAATCGAGAAAATGGAGGGATTGGTTGGACTCTAATTCTAATTTGAATTTAATTTTGGGGTGGAAAGTGTTAAGTTTATTAACAAAAATATTTAATTGACGAATAGTACCCGTCCAACAGATAATTATGTCGTCTACGTATCTATAATAAAACAGAATGTTGGGCTCGCCCACCACATATTTACATTCAAAGTAGTCCATAAATACTTCCGCCATTAGAGGACTCAATGGTGATCCCATTGCTAACCCCTCTTTTTGGCGAAAATATTCATTATTAAAACAAAAATAATTTTGTTGCATGCAAATACGTGTGAGGTCAAGAAGGTCATGCATTTCTCCAGGGTGTAAACGTTGTCTCTCCAAATGGTTCCCCAAAATACGAAGGCACTCTTCAAATGGAATATTTGTAAATAAACTGTCAACATCCAATGATAATATCCTCCCAATTCAAAATTATTATCATTGGATGTTGACAGTTTATTTACAAATATTCCATTTGAAGAGTGAATTGGGAGGATATTATCATTGGATGTTGACAGTTTATTTACAAATATTCCATTTGAAGAGTGCCTTCGTATTTTGGGGAACCATTTGGAGAGACAACGTTTACACCCTGGAGAAATGCATGACCTTCTTGACCTCACACGTATTTGCATGCAACAAAATTATTTTTGTTTTAATAATGAATATTTTCGCCAAAAAGAGGGGTTAGCAATGGGATCACCATTGAGTCCTCTAATGGCGGAAGTATTTATGGACTACTTTGAATGTAAATATGTGGTGGGCGAGCCCAACATTCTGTTTTATTATAGATACGTAGACGACATAATTATCTGTTGGACGGGTACTATTCGTCAATTAAATATTTTTGTTAATAAACTTAACACTTTCCACCCCAAAATTAAATTCAAATTAGAATTAGAGTCCAACCAATCCCTCCATTTTCTCGATTTAACAATCACTAGAGTTAATAACAAACTCGATTTCCAAATTTACCGTAAACCCACTCATACCGACACAACAATTCCCGCTTCTTCTTGTCACCCATCACAACACAAACTAGCAGCCTTCCGCAGCTATGTCCATCGCTTAATGTCAGTCCCACTTTCCACAGATAATTATGTCAAAGAACTTAAAATATTATATCAAATCGCGATTTCAAACGGGTATTCAAAACAAGTTATCGATAATATTATTCAGAAAAAACAGAATGACAGGGCTCGCTCACTACTTTATGCATGTACCCCCGAACGAATTAACAAGTATGTCGGTAGTCTGTCTTACATAGGCCCCATTTCTGATAAAATCGCAAATATTCTTAAAAAACACAATGTTTTCGTTACTTTTCGATCAGATCACAATTTACGTAATCTTTGTAACGGTAAAGATAAATTACAAAATTCAAAAAAATCCGGTATTTACAAATTAATTTGCAACGAATGTAACGGGGTCTATGTGGGTCAGACAGGCCGTAATTTTGAGGTTAGATTTAAGGAGCATATTGCCGCTTACAGGAATGGCCATCCAGACAAGTCACATTTCGCTAAACATTTAATTGACACCGGCCATTCCTTGAGCGACAATAACACGTATACTATTCTGCATGTTTGTGATAAAAATTTCCGGTTGTGTGTGTTGGAGCAGTTAGAAATCTCCAAACATAATAATAATAGTAATTTTACACTGTTGAATGAGCAAACAAACTTAATTACATCCCCTCTTTTAAGTGTGATTACAGGTAGATCATAGTCGATGCAGGCGTCACAATGACGTTTGTGTCGATTGTATCGATTGTGTAATCGATGCAATCGATACAAAGACGTTTGTATCGATTATGTGTCATCACGACACTATATAAGAGGCGAGAGCTGTCGTACTAGCTCATTCGCAGCCGAGCGCTCGTCGAGTCAACATCTCCTGAGGATGCCCTGTGGAGGGGCGAAACACGTGTCGAGTATAGGTTTGATTGCGTGGCATGTTTTTCCGTTTTGTGTATGTGTGCATATGCATGTGGGCGGGAGGGTGGGACCCTTGCTGCATGTGCATATGCATGATTGCATAGGAGTGGGATTGCATCCTGCAACAAGCCTGGATTTTTGTCGCGGAATTGAAACTAAATATTTTCCCTAACATTTAATTATGATTGGTAATCATGGAACAATTATTGTTGTCTTGACAAAAATACATAAAATAAAATACCCAATTTGCAAATCTATGACAAATGATGGTTTGGAGATATGAGAGAACAAGGTGGAAAGTACGTCATCCTCCATTAAAAAGGGAGGATTCTCCGACCAGACTGGTGTTATCTGGTGGGCTACTGTCTGACGGTTGTTATGATTCGCCAATTATAACAACCCGATTATATACCTGTTGTAATACGGTTGTTTTCAACTAGTCAAATTCAATACTTTTATCCAAATGTCAAAAACGATACTTTTCTATGAAAATTGTATGAAACATTGAATTGTGACGTCATAGCATTTTTGCGTCAAATAACTTACTTATTTTTAAAAAATTAGCTAAATAATATCTAAAACTTAGTGTATCGATCGATCGACAAATAAAAGTATAGTTATTTTTCAATATTTTATCATATTAAAACGTCGAATTAATTTATTTTTGACTAAACTACCCAATTGTGTCGAAAACTGTTATGACCGCAATGTAGAAACTTGAAATGTGTTTGGTGCTGTTGCTGCGTGCTGTGCGGTAGATGTCGCTACAACGGAATAAATGGTAATAAAAATAATACCTGTATCATATCTATGTTTAGTGTGTCGACTCGGCATGTCCTGATTTTCGACATGGCCAAAAGTTCTGAAGCCCACTGCGAATTGCGCGTACGGGCTTATCTCGTACAATTCTGAAATTAAAAAAATAAACTCATTTATTTCCGTTGAATTCCAAAATGGAGGCTATGTTAGTTGCGATGTTTTAGGCTCCCGCTTCACATACACGAGTGTGGGGGTCGGATCCTGGCATCCTGACATTAAGCGTATTTAGACCATACTGACATGTGGCATGTAATTTCTTAAATAATAAATTCAAGTTTTGTGGTAGCCCGGTGGTTAGGGCCCCGCTTAAAATTTATAAGGGTGGAGCTTTTTCCGAGTTATATGTACTTTGTATGATTCTAATTAAAACATCGTGAGGAATGCTGGACTTATAATTACTAATTATAAGTTTGAAATCGCCAATCCGCCTTGAGCAAGCGTGGCGATAAATGCCCAAACCTTTTCCGTGTAAGATTATAACACTTATAGATTGGTGATAATAGTGTATAATAAAGTTTTATAAATGTATAGGCTATAATATTTAATTATACGTGTTTCCCAAGTCAGTTACTTTTAGATAATTTTAATTGATTAGAATCGTGTTCATTCGAACTACGTGCTGTTCTGCAGGACTCCTTACTTTATCTTGATTAAGGACGACTTGATTTAGGCAGGAAAATATTACCGGCATCATTTTAGAAAATACTTAATTCTGATTTCAGTGATTTCATTAAAATAAAGGTAGAAGACACTACAAATAAAGTTTTAAAAGGGCTAAGTTTGGGGAGGTCAAGCTTCGGCACGAATGGGTTGGATCGAACTGAGTGATACCATGGCCTCAGAAAACCAGCGTGAGACAATCAGTGTTATATTTCGCCGTGTTAGTGAGGTTACTGGACCCCCAATCTTACTGCTCCCCCAATCCCTCTCCAATGCCTATTCTCTAATCTCCAAATCCCTAATCCCCAAAAGGTCAGCAACGCATTCATAGCTCTTCTGTCGTTATTGGTGTCCATTGCGGCACTGATTGCTTATCATCAGGTAATCCACCTGCTCGTTTGCCGACCTATCTCGAAAAAAAACCACGGCCTAACAGAAAACAAGCGTGAAACAACTACAGTGTTGTGTTTCACCGTGTTTGTTAAGTGCTGGAAGCCCAGTACTCTAAAACTCATTACACAAAGTATTCTAAAACTCCTAATCCTCAAATCTGTGACTACCAAATTGCCAGTCGTTACCGGCAATTTCAAACTCTCAAGTGCGTTCACTTCCAACACTTCTCTGGGAGGGTACCGATTACTTACCATCAGGTAATCCACGTGCCCATTTCCCGATCTATCACATAATAAAAGACTAGAATGATGCAGCTTCACAGAATACCGGCTGTGAAAAAATGCTTGCGTTTCGACGTGTGAATGAGGTTAGTTTGATCTTACATAACGACCGAAAGCTCAATCTTCCCATCTTTTCCCCCGGCCATCCTTATATCTCTCTTTTTCACATCCCTAACGATTCATCAAAGGCTTTCAATGTGCTTGTTACTTCTTTGGTGTAGCGGGTGTCAATGAGAGTCGCTGATTGCTTACCACCAGGTAACCCACATTCTCGATTTCCGATTTATCCCAGAAAAAATATTGGACCGGTCAGTTTATTTGTTTTTCAGATGAGTTTGTTTTCGAAGTGTTGTCGTGTGTACGTATCCACTCGTAGTTTCAAAATATCGTTACCTATTTTATTTATAGGATAAAAATAGATTAACGACAAAGTCTCCAAAGGTTAGTCAGGAAATAATAACAGTAACTAGGTTTAATTATCAATATATGTTCAATATATACATACATATATAAACAAGTCAAAGTCCACCCAAACAAGCATTTATATGGTACAAAGTATAAAACTTAGCATTATTTTTTTATGAGATTGGTCTACAAACGAGCAGACAGAAAACCTTATGGAACGCAATCGACGCCGCCCATGGATAATCATAACACCAAAGGATTTACAAGTGTCAATCCTTGAGTCTCTTATTAAACGTATTACACACGTTGATTTAGTCTCAAAGTAATCATATTACGTTGAAATAGTCTCTAAGTATTCATATTACGTTGAAATAGTCTTTAAGTATTCATATTACTTCGATTTAGTCTTAAAGAAATCAATTACCTTGAAATAGTCTCTTAGTAATCATATTACGTTGAAATAGTCTCTAAGTAATCATATTACGTCGATTTAGTCTCAAATTTATCATATTACGTCATTTTAATAAAATCAAATTAAACAATTAAATTTATCACCTAGCAACGAGTTCCTAATAGTATCTTAACGGTGATTGTACTGACGTAAGGTATAAGGAAATAGGTATAGTAACTAACAGTCAATTATTATAACCGTTTTACGAATACGTCATTTATTTAAAGTTAATTAACTATGGAACAAAGGTCACGAGACTTTATCGTCGTTGCCCGAAGAGGGCGCTTGTAGGTATTACATGCACTTTCTAAGATTATTAAGGGCTGATTCTTCAATAGTTAGATAATAATTATAATTATGATGCTGTCGCGTCAGAATGTTTGTATAAGACAGTGACAGCAACAATTATATTGCGGAGGTAACATTTATCTGACTGTTGAAAAATCAGCCCTAAGTGTGGGAGAGCCATAATTGGGCACGAATGGGTCAAAGTGTTGTTTCATACCAGTGTGAAACAAACACAGCGTTGTTTTTCTCGGTGGGAGTGAGGTGACCGGTGATCCAATACTTCCCCAATTCCTCCTCAGCCCCTCCCTAAGCCAATCCCCAAATCACAGAAAGCCTAATCTCCAAAAAGCAGGCAACGCATTCGTAACTCTTATAGTGTTGCGATAATTTCTAACCATGAGACATTTTCTTGGCTCGTTTACCGATCTGGCAACTTAACTTAACTGGCAAGACAATGTGTCCAAAAAAACCTTTGAGATTTAAACCTTTTTTTTAAACGTTCCACCACACTGGAAAATTTTCCTGTGTTGTGGGTGCGTTTACAAACCTACAATTTCACATACACATCACGCCCAGACACGGAACAACAATTTGTGGATCACACAAAGAGTAGTTCCGTGCGGGAATTGAACAAGCGACACGTTGCGCCGCCCGCAGCCAGTTGCCCAGCCACCGCGCCAACCGTGCAGCAGTCAAAGGCTTGACGACAGCCTATGCTATATCATATTTTGTTATCAGAGGAAATTGAATGAAATATTACAATAACCTACATTTCACTTAAAGGAAATTATCAGTTTTACGCACGCTTATTTTTAGCCATTTATAATAGCGACAAAGATAACTTATATTTCGACTTTTAAGGTAATTTTTGTATTAAAATCGAATTATAGTATAAGAGAAATTAAATTCTGGAACATTGTTTAGGTGCATTATTATTCCTTATCGATATATGGCTTAAATTTAGTTCCGTCAAACATCGATAGAGTAGCATATTATTATGCACCTTACTTTCTTTAGGGATTAAGGATTATGGATTAGTGATTTGGAATGAGGGATTGTGGATTGTCGATTAGAGATTTGGGGTTAGTAATTAGCGATTAGTTATTAGTGATTAAGTATTCGGGTTTCAAGATAAGAGATTAGGAGGCTATCGTTTTAAACGCTGTTGTTTTTAAAATCCCGGAATACATTAGTTTTATACGAAAGCTAGTCTATACTACTATTATAAAGAGGTAAAATTTGTAAGTTTGTATGTTTGTAAGTTTGTATGTAGGGGGTAATCTTTGGAACCGCTGGTCGGATTGCCAAAAAGCTTTCATTGATAGACAGCTACAATGTTCCTAAGTGCTAGAGGCTATAAAACATCACGTTTCGATCAAATAGAGTAGTTAATAAATTAATCTTACCATGCTTGCTGTTATTCCTCAGATGTATAGGAGCGCTGTATATTCTATTCTGAGCGTTGATAGCGTTTTCCTTCACATTTGCCAAATTGGTGTGTGATGTGTTTGCTGTGAGGTTACCACTTTCAGATTTATTGTCTACAGTTATGGAGTCTCGATATTCTGTTAGGTTGCCCGTTCTGAAAAAAAAAACAGTTACTCATTAAAAAAGATCTTGAACTATCATTGTAAACTCATTTAGAAATGGCTTTGCAAAGATACAATGCTAATACTAAATTTTTTCCCCACCTAATTGATGTTTTATACCTACATGTAAAATTTTCTCTTCAATCACTCTATATATTTTTTTATGCAGACGGATTACCTGATGGTAAGTAATCAACGCCGCCCATGGACACCCGCAACGTAGGAGTTACGAGTGCGTTGCCGACATTTTAGGGATTACGGATTTGGAGATTTAGGGATTGAGGAGGGATTGAGGGTAGGGAAGGATTGGGCCTCCGGTAACCTCACTCACACGGCGAAACACAACGCTATGGTTGTTTCACGCCGGTTTTCTGTGAGGCCGTGGTATCACTTCGGTCGAGCAAACCCATTCGTGCCTAAGCATGGCTCTCCCACACTTTTATTACTTACACTCTCACACACCTTTATTAAAAAACCGCTTACATAGGGATATAGGGACAGAGACAGCGACTTTGTTTTATACTATGTCGTAAAGTTAGCTACAGTTATAATTATAATGCATAGGTAAATAATTACCATAAGTTATGTAAAGAATATTATAATTATGAAACATCTAAAATCCTAATTTGGGGTTGCGGTTGTGCCGTTGATAAAACTAACACAAATTATGACTAATTCTATTTACGTTCGAGTATATTTTCATTCAAAAATAAACTTTAATAATTTACCTTGTGAAGTTTTTACGTTATAATGGAAACTTTGTTCCATATCGGGATAAATTGCCATTTCTTGGTAGACTGTATGTCTGTGCCTGATAACCTAATTTGAAATTCGTTCAGTGCTATAGTTCTGCATCAGTGAGTAACCAAAACCCCTTATTTTGGAACACTTTTGCCATTGAAATTATAATTAACAATAACATTATTTTATTAGCGGCTCGCTCGGTAGTGACTATGTCTGTATGGGCACTGTCATTACTTGGAACTAACTAAACAATATGTAATTTAACAAAGTTATAATATGTATGTATATCGACTCAATAATGTATCTAGAATAGTTTTTCTCGTAATTGAAGTGGTTGTAAACTAACACTTGCGTGCCTGTCTTTAGGGTCCACTTAAACTGGTCTTCTTTTATTAAATTGCCACTACAGAATGAACTTGCATGATTCTCATATATCATTAGGTATATTTATTATTTTTATATTGTCTGGATTTTAAAAGAAGCGGTACACCTAATTTGTTTCGGCATTCCTTCTCAGAATAGTCAGATAGGAAATGCTGGCTTCATCTAGTAGTTTTTTTTTCTATACTAATATTATAAAGAGGTAAAATTTTTAAATTTTTAAATTTGTATATAGGGGCTAATCTTTGGTACCGCTACCGCGCTGGTCGGATTGCCAAAATTCTTCACTGATAGATAGCTACAATGTTCCTGAGTGCTATAGGCTATAAACCATCACGCTACGATTATAAAGCTGAGCAGCGGGTGAAACCGCGCGACGGAAGCTAGTTTATATATAATTTGGACGTGTAAAAGTGCCGTTTTTGGCCTACTTGGAATATGATATATATAATTATACTAGCTTCTGTTTTTTTTTTGTGAGAGGAAAATCATCAAATGACTTCTCCCGCCCAGGGCCGAGCGGGAGGCAGTGTCAGACTCTTACTGACTAAAAACCCCCCGCTCCTTCTCCTGCTCTGGGCCGAGGTCGCGGTGCCTCATTGCGCTTACCCTGCAACCCCGGCCGGCCGAATACTAAATTCTGTTACCGGCTTTGTCCGCAAAACCAGGATAAAAGTAGACTAGGTTTTATTCCATGCTATACCTAATCTATCTCTTTAATAAAATAAAGTTACATCCATATATCCATTAGTAACTTATGAATTTACTATATTATGTGGGCTATTTCAATGTCATTGTGCACGCAATATGAACTCTCTTAAAAAGAAAATATAATAAACATGTTTCATACCTCTGTCTCTTTACAAGTATGTAGATACAGCTGAGAAGGCAGATTGTGAGCAGAATGGAACTGCAGATGATGACCAGCATATTAAGGTCGAAGAGCTCCGACGGAGGACCAACTTCACCTGCCGAAGTGGGAAATAGAAGAAGATTAAATATAGGGTGAAACAAGGCAACCTTGTTTAAAACAAAAAGGCAGGCTTGTTTAAAACAAAAGACGGCTGACTCATTATTATATGACTGATTATTGTAGTGTTATACATTAAATTTTTCTTCTTTTAAAAAAAACGTTGCCCTACACTAGAATTTTCCCCTGTGTCGTAGGTGCGTTTGCAAACATACAATTTCAGTTTGTGGATCACACAAAGAATTGTTCCGCGCGGGAATCGAACCCGCAACACGTTGCGCGGCAGCCAGTTGCCCAGCCAACGCGCCAACCGTGCAGTCATTATATATGATTTAAAAAATCTCAATGTGTCCTCCTATCCTACTTAATAGTTTTACATACATATTGTAATTGACTAACAAAGCCTAATGCCTAAGCCTACGTTTAATAAAATTTATTATTTCCTTAAAAGGGAATAATTCAATGCCCTGGGGCATTACCTAATCACTTCAAAACTTTACTACTAGAGTAGTTACGAGACTGTAGCTCGAATTGAATGAGAATGATCATTCAATTCGAGCTGAGAATGATCATGAATGAGAATGATCATTCAATTCGAGCTACCGTTGTTTTTCTTCAACAGATGGCACCATTTTGAACCCTTCGTTAATTAGAGAATTATCTAGTGTCACAACATAACATGGTATTTTTTTGACAGTAGCAGCCCTTTGTAATATGGTCTCTTGCTATCTATGCCTCTTTTATCTAGACTCTATCAATAAGACGATCCTTACAAACGTCTTTTTCTTAAGTATATGTAAAAATCAAAGTCAATGTTAAAGTCGAACTTACTTCCATCCTCGTTCTTTGTGGCATAACTATAGATAGTAGTGACACTACCAGCTTCATTAGTAGCAGTCACTCTCAGCTGGTACCATGTGCCAGGAGTCAGATCCGAGATTGCGAATGTAGGAATCTTCGTTTGATAGAGAGATTGGAGACTCCATGATGAAAGGTCTGAGTAGGGCTGTGAAGATAAACAAATTGATATTAAAGGAGTTAGCAATTACCCTGCCAAGTTACATGTTTTGAATATGTAGCGACATCTATCGTCAAATACATAAAACAACTCCAAAAATTAACCAACAGATGGCGTGCTTAACAAAATCTAGCATTGATGAAAAAATATTGTCTATATAAAAACTCTTACCATATTATTATGAGCTCTAGTCCAGGTTCTGCCTCCCAGATGTTTGTACTCCACATCCAAGGCCCTCAGTGCACATCCTCCATGATCCCAGCCGGCTAGCTGCACGTATATGTGGGAGGCGTTACTCCATAACCAGTCGTTTGTAGAGGGTGGTATTGGCACTGTAAGTCAAATTGATATACTTTAAACTATATTTTCAGCAACTGCAACAGTTCTGACATGAGAATAAATAAATAAATGATGTAAATTCTCTTACGTTAGCATAAATAATTAAATGAGATTTGTCAAAATTATTCACGAAATCCTCCATGTTGAACCAGAAATTTTACGTCAAAACTTTGCTGGACATTGTATCAAATTAAATTACCTTGATGACTAATATTTTTGACTCTTTTTTTAAATGCTGACGATAAGGACTCTAGCCTCAGCGATCTAACTCGAATCAAATCCGATACAAGGAAAATCATTTTAAATGCCAATACAATTCTTATGCTTTTACACTTAGGCACTTCTCACATACGAGGATGTGTCTCCGAAAACTGGTGAGGACTGATATGACGTTTTTGAGTAATATATACTTTCTATGATTATTTAGACATCACTTAAATTCAGTGAAGGTAAACATTGACTTATGATTTCTTATTATAAATTTTAAATAGCCAATTAACTTGAAACTGAAATGCTCAAACCTTCTCCGCGTGAGAAGAGGCCTTTGTTCAGCAGTGGACACGTACAGGCTGATGATGGTGATGATCTGAACAGAACTGAACTACGTTTTTACTAAGCTATTTTTATAAATGTTTTATTTCACTAACCTCCTCCCAAAGTGCTGACGTCTAAATAAGCAGGTTGCGATGTCCCAACCTTGTTCGTTGCGGTGATTCTCAAGGAATACTTTGTACCACATTTGAGTCCTGTCAGTGCGTGTTTTTGCACTCCCGAAAGATTGGGCAATTTATTCGCTGGCCACGCCTCCCTCCAAGGACTGTTGGCTTCTTTCCATGTTAGACTATAACCTACAAACACAAAGGCAAATCAAATAAGGCTTAAATAGGTATATTTTTCTACAACAATGCGAAAGTGTAACCGCAACATGAATTTTGACTTTTCAAGCCATTTCGTTCTTTTCTCAATTAATAATTTCTGATTTTATTCGTTGCGGAAGTTATGCCCCTGGGAAGCGCTGCAGTTCAGTGTTTAGTTGTATCTACTGTAGATCGTGGTTTTTTATGTGATAGGTCGAACTATGAGTAGACGAATCGATCCGCGCTGCATATGGACACCCTCATCTCCTGAGGAGTTACGAGTGCGTTGCCGGCCTTGGGCTTTGGGTTTGTCCAAATAAAACAAAATACAGTTTTAAACTATATACTTACTTATCTTTTGACTAGAACTTCTGTTACTGACGGAATAGTAAGGTTGCTCCCATTCCACCAGTATCGAGTCTTTGTAAGGAGTCGCTCGGAGTATGGGAGCTTCAGGTAAGGGTAACACAATTACCGTGTATTCTACTGAGTCCGAACCATAGAGGTTCTTTGCTAAGCAGGTGTAGTTCCCACTTAGAGATTGGTCTATGTCTGAAAGAAAAGAATGTAATATAAGATTGAAGCGTTATAGTGTGACGGTTGGTTAATGCAATGTTTTTCAATTATATACCTAATTGAGTGAAGTTTTTTTTTATGGTTAAGGTCGGCAAACGAGTAGTTCGTGAGTCTGATGGTCAGCATTGGGTACTTTACTAGGTAAACATTTTTTTTTACTTGTCAACAAAAATGAACTATTAATACTTTAATTCATTATTACGAAGATTGAATTGTTTTTGTTAACTCATTCTTGTTAACTAATAAATGACGAAATTCATAGAAAAGTATCGTTTTAGAAATTTCAATAAAAGTATTGAATTGGACTTGTTAGAAACTACCGAATTTGGAACAAGCCTATGGACAATCGTAAAACCAGAGGAGTAACAGGTATGCGTGTGTAGTTTCCTACTTTTATAGATTCCGGATTTGGGTATTGAAAATAAATCGAAGATAGGATGGAGATAGAGGGGATAGGCCTAGATAGAGTAATCTACTCACATGACTAACTGCAACACAACCCATTTTACATAGGTTCACTGTGAGGTTGTGGTATCACTCGGATCAAATCAGCCTATTCATGCTAAAACATTCAGCGATGTGCAAATTTTACAGCAAAAAATTTAAAAAATAATACGAGGCCGAGGACACCCAATGATAGCAGTAATATTGATTTGATTTAGGTGACTGCAATGAAGTGTTAATATTCTTGAGTAAGAAAGAAACTTACTATTAATGAGCAAGCTGTCGTCGTGGTTCCTGGTGAACCTGGGATGGTGCGTGATGATGTTGTGCTTGTGGTACCACACGGTGCGCGGCGGCGGCGCGCCCACACACTGGCACACCAGCAGCACGGAGCTGCCCACGCCCACTGACACCGCGCCGCCTAGGGACGCCACGCCCGCTACCACTGGAACAGATAGGTTTATTGATGGCTTACGTTCTAACCGTTTGAGTATTTGTGCAGCCTACCCAAATGTTGTTTGAGGTGGTATTGTTTGTTGGAAAATGAAGCCTCACCCGATAGTTTTTTCTTTATCACGTTAGAATAGGAGGTAAAGGAGAAGAGAGATCACCTAATGGTAAAAGATCTGTGCCGCCCATAGACATCTGCAGTACCAGAGAAGTCATAGGTATGTTGCCGGCTTTTTAAGAAGGAGTACATTCATTTCTTGCAGGTTTGAAGGTTGTATTGGTTTGGAAATACGGAAATATAGAAATAATTCCAAAACGGGATGAAAACTTTTTCGATAAAAATATTTTTTTCCTTGATTTAGTTTTGAACTGACAATAATAGCGTGCCTGTCTTCAGAATGGCTCAACTTAAACTGGTCGGGTTCCATAATAAATTTGACTTGCGATGCTCTACCAACCTTGGATTAACTAAAAATAAATTAGATGACTAAATTTGTATCTCTGAAGTGCATAATTTCGAATTTTCAACCTCGTGTTTTTAAAGCCAAATATATGTGTGGTGCCATCTATTGAAAGAATTAGGACATTAATAAGTCAAGTACACTCTGAGGGGTGAGACACAAAAATAATAACTACCAAATACTATGTTGTATTTAGACTGAAGATTTTTTTAAATCAATAACTGCATCTGCAAACCGAGACAAATCACCTCATTTTAACAAAAAAAAATTGAATGAGTCACTCAGAATTCGCGTTTACGGAAATTTGCCCAAAAAGTGAATTCGAATGTTACCTTTGACTTTAGCTCTTACCTCTATGTGTAGGAGTATGAGAAACTCTTCTGGTCGCACTGCCTTCACCAGCAGCTGTACTGGCAGTAACCCAAGCTTCATAAGTTCTCCCAGAGACCAGGTCTTTCACCTCAGCCGTGGTGCGACCTTCCGAGTCAATGCGGAACGTCTGTGGTGGACCATTGCTGCGGTTAAAGGGTCATGCTGTAGATTTGCAATTTTAGAAAGAATTTTTTAGTCAATAATGGATGAGATTCCCTTAAAAGCCTGGTTTGGTAAAAACTTGATCAAGTAATTTGCAGCTACAAGATTGTAATCTATCATGATGGTATGAGGGTACTTACAAAACCGCCGTCGGTTGGTTTATTATTTATTAAGTTATTTAAAATTTATGCTGAGCAAAGACCTCATCTCACACGGATAAGGTTTCCAAATATGAATCTTAAGAAATAGAACATACAATTGAAACTTACCTGGACGTAGGTTTTACGTAGACGGTATAATGCAGGAGTTCTCCGTTAGGATGGAGAGGTTTCTTCCAGCTGACTAGCAATGATGAGGAAGACAGAACTAGGACTTTGATATCCGCTGGTGGACCGGGGACTGTGACAAAAGATTATTTATATATTTAATGAATTTATTTATTTAATAAATTTATCTAAATAAATTAGATAAATGTTATCTGAGGAATAAAATTGTTGCTGTCCCTGTCTTACACAAACGTTCTGACGAGACAGCATCATAAATCATTCCACAGATAACTTTTATCTAACCATTGGAAAATCAGCCCTAAATCGTACAATTCAAAACCAATTACTCTTCTAAACGCTTTTGTAATGATATACTTAATATATGCCTTCAGGTAAAAGAAAAGAAGATACACTTTTTGTATATCAACTTCATAACTCGCTATTATAAAAAGAATCGTAGAGATTATTTATTATGTTTTCGGCTTACTCACGTTATAATTTGACGAGATACAAGCCAGTTTCAAGCCATGCTAGAGGCCCATATTCATGAGCAGCATTCCGCGACACGTGACTCGGCGACTGTCGCGCTGCTACTGGCTACTCGAGTCTACGCGCCCAATTATTACGTGAGTAAGCCGAAAACATAATAAATTTAGAATGTCTCACGAAAGTTATAATAAAAATAATAAAATCGTAGAAAATTGTAGTTTTCGACGTTTGAAAAAGTGTATAATATATAATAATTATTTAAATACCTTGGCAGGCTTCAAAATATATTGAATTGAAATAGAAAATACCGAATTATTGGCGTCATGCATACTTCAAATTGTATATTTGTAAAAGCACCAACGATACAGGAAGAAGCCTTGATGAAGCGCAGTATCTCTCTAAGAAACGCTTGTCAACTCACCATCCTGCAGAGTAGCGCAGACAATTGGATAGGAATATGGACCAGCTCCATAATTTGAGAAGCCGGCCACTTTGACGGTGTAGTTAGTGTACTTCAGAAGGCCTTGTAAGTATAGCTCTGTGTGCAAAGAAGTCTGGTTCTGCCAGGCCGCTTCTATAAAAAGACATTGATTTACTGCAGTTTTTCATAAAATAAAGACATCGAAGATTCTCCTTTGGCACTGTTTATTGAGTAATATCAATGATAATAAAAAGATATCATATTCACTGTAGTTATTTCATAAGGTAAAGACAACGAAGGTTCCCTTATGGTAATATTGATGAGATTAAATACCTTATGAGTAGAACTAAACATGTTATAGCAGAAACTAGGTAGATTCGTATAATATTAAAAAATGGACCGTCATAAAAAGCCTAACGACAAGTACCTAAGTACAGTACTATCTCATTTAGTGTATTTTTTCAAAGCCATTTATTTTTATTTCTATAAACTACATGTGTGTCTTTTCATTGAATACTGGTGTAAAACGACCACAGAATTGGTGTTTGTCGTAAGTGGGGTTACCCTGAGGCCCATTCTTCCCGAATCCTTAAACCTCTTAAATCTCTTATCACCTAAAAACTCTTACGGCCTTATTACAAAACAAGGTTTTACTTTAGTCTAGGACTAAACCACTGAGCCAGTTTTTGTATTTCGAATTGAAGGTAGATGACAATAAGATTCAAAATTCAAAACCCGACTCAATGGTTTAAACTTGGACTAAAGATAAATCAGGTTTTGTAATAAGGGGGTTTTAATAGGTATTACCTCATGGGCACTCCAATAAGCGGCGTCGATCGCTTACCAGCTACAAGCCGTAGGCTCGTTTGGCGCCGTTCCAAATATATAAAAATGGCGTTTGTAAAAAGTGTCATAGAGTATAAATTCACTCTAGCCTGGAAGACACTCAGATAGCCTTCGGAAACATAGAAGCCATTCCAGCAAAGAATAATTCCAATTATTCTAATTTATCATTTGTATACTACAGATATTATTCACTTACCATCGGTAGCAAAGAGCACGGTGTACCCAACGAGAGAGCTGCCCTGTCCTGGTACTCCAATAGGCTGCCAACCAATCCTCAATGATGTAGAGGACACAGCTGTACACTCCACTGAAGACGGAGCTTGCTCTGGAGCTGGAAATAGATAATAATACTATCATTTGTCATAAAGAATTAATGTAACATTTATAATCGTAAATCCATCTGGAGAAAGCGTGGTAATTGATGCAGAATCCTCCGTGTGAGACGAGGCATTTGCTCAGCAGTTGGCAATGATTTTTTAATAGACTGCATAGTTAATTAGACTTCTGGCTGCTGCGTTGTGCTGCTGCGTGTCTCGTTTCTTCTTTTCTTTCTTCTCTTTTTAAATTTCACATGAAACTATACATTTTTGTGTAATTCATAAATAGTTATTGCAAGTTTGGATGCAGGACATGTTTAAGCAAAATAAAACGCTAATAGGTTTTTTGTTAAGCCGTTTCGGTCGAGCCGACTCATTCGTCCTAAAACTTTATTCATACTTAAGCATAGCATCAGTCATCCACGGATAGAGATTGTGATACCATGGAATATTTACCTCCTTCTCTGGTATCTTGAAAGACCGGTAGAGAGAATGGCCCCGAACCAGCATTTGTGAAGGCTGCTACGGATACAGAATACCTGAAAAATATATAAAAAGATATGTACCCTCGAAACTGCACGTCATTTAATATGATGCTAAACTGCTCAATTACTTTTAACCATGAAATAGGAAATGTAACATAAAAACTACTTAATATATTAAATAGAAGAGACCAGTCTTATAAAACAAAAAGATAAAGAAAAATTTTGCTCAAACCTGGTGTTCTTCATAAGTCCACTGAGAAGAGTTTCTTGTTTCCCAGAAAGTTGTGATACTTTGATTGTACGGGTGTCAGTTTCCTCTGAAACTGAAAGGATTAATGTTAATTTTCATAACCATTATAGTTTACAACACACACACATCAAAATGAACGTGAAACGCACACAACGAAGGTGCGAGTGTAAGCTCGGTTTTCTGTGAGACCGTGGTATAACTCTAGTCTGACCATTCTTGTAAAAGCATGGACCTCCCACACGTCATTGTTGCATTTTCTAAGACAGTGGTGTAGTAGTCAACTTCCTATATTTGAATCTTACCTTTGTTGAGGGGGAAAACATCACATAAGTTTTCTTGCCCAAGGTGAAATGAGAGGAAGTTTCAGACTCTTAAAGACTAATAACCATCCCGTTTCTTCTCCTACTCCAGACCGAGGGTGTTATTGCTGGTGGTGGTGAGGGTGTTAACCCTGGTTGAACATCGGTGTTATTGGACCCCGTTTATGGTGGTCTGCTGACTCTTAAAGAGGAGCGCAAAACGCTAAACGCCGTACGCTCGGATTTGGTTCTGATCGATCGAGCTACCCTAGTTCGCCGTCTCGTCTTGTCGCTCGATCTACGTTCGAAATCTTACCTGAACCAATGTTCTGTGCCACGGCCTTAACATGGTACCCCATGATAACTCCATTGTGTGTCTCCTTCAGTGGTGGAGACCAGGACACGTAGAGTTCACCAGGATTCTCTGTTTGTTCCACTTGCACATTGATTGGAGCTGATGATGGAGCTGGAAGTTGATTATTGGGTTTGGAAAATGCTGACGTCATGGGAGTTTTCGTTTTTTACTCAACAGATGGTGTTAATCTTGTTAGATTAACACCATCAACCAACACTGTTGTGTTGCTGTGTGATTTAGATATTTAGTTCAAGCAAAAATTCAAACCCAGTTTATTGCGTTACTATTAGTATTATAAGCGTGAAAGTTTGAAGTATGGATGGTTGTGATAATTTCACCTAAAAACTGCTGCAGAGATTTGAATGAGTTTGGTACAGACATACATTAATACTCTAGAATAACACATTGGTTACTTTTCATCTTAGTAACGCGAGCGAAGCCATTGGCAGTGGAAAGTTCTAAATAAAAACATCATGGTCTTCAATTCTGTATTCCATTATTCCCATTAGTCAGTGGTTTACCAGCTTCAAAAATAGATGAGGTACTGTTTTTAGAGGTTTGTTTTTTTCTTAACCTTGGTTTACACAAACGATATATTTAATCACCAAAAAAGGTTATCCGTAAGATACGAAACTTCATAATTCGTGAAACTACATACCTTCTTCGTGCATAGTGAAGTGTACGGGAGCAGTGTACTGCGAGACGCCAACCTGGTTGCCCGTGGCAACGCGGACTGCATATGGCGTCGCTGGCCGGAGATTCTGTAGCTCCACAGATTGACGGAGCTCTTGGTCTTTTCTGGAAATAATTATTATCGGAGTGAATGTCTTTTTCTTCCTTTTTTCAAGGATACCTTTACGTAAGCTATCAGCATCAATCTCCCTGGAATATACACATCCATAACAGCAGACGTTGCAATTACTTACTACACAAAAATACGTATCTGAAGGCAGATTTTTGTTTCTTGTCGAATGTTTAGAAGAAAGGCGCTGTCCGTAATTATATATAATAGTGCGAAAATAATACATTTGAATTCAGTTAAGATTATTTATTAAAATTAAAGTCGAATCTCTTTTATGAGATATTATAGAAAACACATTATATCAAGGGCTAGACGAGGTCTTTTTATGATGGTTTGAATTGTCGTATCGGTTTGTGGATATAGCAAGTGATAAGTTATTCTATGTTCTTAAGATGATTTCAAAATTTATTTATTATATGATGACGATGATGATGACGATGAAGAAGACAAAGATCATTTACCTGGTAACATTAACAGTAGTAGCATGTTCCCACACAGCGTCAGTGTAGTGAACATGTGAATATTGCAGAGTGTAGTGGCGCGCATGCGCCCGCAGTGTGTCTCGCCATGAGATCGTAGCGCTGCGCGAGCGCACCATCTCTACGCGAACATCTGATGGTGGTGTTGGAGGTTCTGGGAAGGAAGTTATAATAATTAAAGCACGAATTCTTCGACACGAAAGGGATCAGCTTGGCCTGAGTGATGTCACGGCCTCACAAAAAACTGGCATGAAACAACCACATCGTTGTGTTTCGCTGTGTGAGTGAGGTTACTGGAGGCCCAATCCCTTTCCTTCTACCCAGTCTTTCCTGTAATATGATTGAAATCTCAATCCTTAAACATGCGAAATCCTTATTGCCAAAAGGCCAACAACGCACTCGTAACTCTTTTGGAGTTGCGGATGTTCATGGGCGGCGCCGATTGCTTACCATTAGGTAATCCGTCTGGTCGTTTGCCGCAAAATTTTAGTGTCGAAAAACTATGGTTCAACCTCAAATTTCTATATATGTACTTTTTTAAACCGACTTCTAAAAAGGAGGAATGTTCTCAATTCGATCGTATATATGCTTTTTTTTTGTTTGTTCGCCGATATCTTCGTTATTTATACACCGATTTTGATAATAATTTTTTTGTTGGAAGGGAGTCCCACAATGGTCCCTCCAGAACAGGATCTGATGATGGAAGACTAGAGAAACCGAGACAAAACAATACCTACCCAAAATAGTCAAATATACACTAAAAGTAGCTGTTCCATATGGATTGGTGGCTCTGCACTGATACTGCCCTGCGTCACCTGTCTCCGAATACTGAAGATTGATCGTATTGACCACACCGAGTGATGTCTTCGTTTCTGATATTTTGGCTCTGAAAATAGATGTTGGGTGATATTTAAGTCTGCCAAGCAAATCAATATTGAAAATTATAAGCCCTTTTTTGGATGGCAAAATCATCAACTGCCTTCTCTCGCCATGGGTAATGAATTCGCTTGTGATGTGCCGAATATGTTTAGCAGCCTTAAGAATTTTGATGATTAATGCATAGGGAGTTTTCACCTTATCTAATAATCCTTCTCCTACTCCAATCCTTAAAATTCTGACCCTAATCCCTAAAAGGCCCTCCCTAATCAAAAGGATTGCTTACCATCAGGTAAGACCGAATTTTGATTGTCGCCCTATGAATTAAAATAGGTGTTTTTACACCTTTCGCTTTCACCATTTAAAAGTAATTGAAAGCAAACCAATTTTTTCAAACTTCTCTTTTCCTTTTTTTGAGCAAACGTGGAGCAAGCTGATGATGATGATGATGATGATGGTTTTTCGCCTTAAACTCTTCTATTTCTATTTGGAACATATCTAATGGAAATAATGTGTATCACCTTTGATTAATATAATCCAAAGCATTTCCCTCATGCATCCACGTGACCCTGATAGGCTCATCTCCTAAAGGTCGACATTCTAATGTAACTGGATGACCAAGCCTTGATGTCACGTTCGCTGCTGATGATTCGAAGTGAACAGGCTCTGGAATGTACAAAAAAGTAATATTAGATAATGTAAGCTGTTAAAAGACTTTTTCGATGTCAATGGTTTGACTTTTTGCCCCTCTTTTGAGAATTTCTTGTAAGCAATTCAATTTCAATTCAATTCAATAAGTATCAGTAGTTTTTCTCAAACTATTTGTTTAAATAATACCAATCTAAATTCTATGAGAATAATATTTTCTTATACTTAAATTTTCTCATGTATCGTGCCATCACAGCCACATCCAAAACAACAATTTGCGGTACACACAAAGAGTTGTGCCGCTGCGTCAACCGTTAAAAATAGTTTATTTCTATTTAAATAGACAAATAAAATATCTCCAAGAATAAATGTAAAACAGAAATACTCACTATTAACACTCATCCAAACAGTTTTGCTGAGCGGTTGTCCTACTCCATTCTCCACGTTGCAGGAGTAAAGCCCTTCGTCAGTGAGAGATACCTCCTCAATGATGAGGGTCCCGTTTGGTAAGCTCACGATGCCACCGCCAGCTAACTCCAAAACTGGTTGCCACGTGCCCAGAAGAGCTGGAAAATATTTACAAAGTTTTTGATTTATTATTATTTTTATTTTTATTTGTATTTTAGATTGAAGACTTGTCTTATGACCTTGAATTAGGATGTCAAAAACGAATTGTGATTTATTTGTGTGATCATTTTGTTCAATTAGGAGGTAAAAGGGTAAAAAGTACAGAAGAAATTTCTTTATAATTTATTGCTGCTCATACATATAATTACGTATGTCATGTAACAACAAACTAACAAGAATATGAGAGACTCTTTTTTTGGCCTAAAACTATATTGCTTTCTTTCGTACATTACAACAATTGACGTTAAAAATATTTCATGACAATTAATCGTTCTTACCATCTTTCTTCATCCAGTGCACTTGTGGCTGAGGGTATCCACTAGCACTGCACGACACTGCTCCTCTCCTGCCAAGGAGAAGCGAGGAGTTGTTTGGTTCTTCCAGCCATTTTGGTGCAACTGTAAAAGTGAACGCATGAATGATTAATATATGTACATACGCGGTAACTGAACTGAACCTGTAATATTGCTCGCCTAACGTAGTTTGAACATTACATTTTTATTTTGGTCTATCATGATGCATGATTCAGCACTTAGTTGTTGGAGGAGGTTGATATTATCATAGATCGCTTCAGCTGGTTTATATGTGCAAGATCCTTAGTCTATTTTTTGCGATGCCCGTGAAAATACTAGGGGTGGTGATAACTTTGGTTTCCGTTTATGCGATTGTTTATATTGGAACCCCAGGGTGGACTTGCTTCGAATATTGCCGTATAAATAAGGTTACCGGAATCCTCATTTACAACTCTCCCAATATTCGAATTCCTAAAAGACCGGTATTGCACTTAGGACAATCCATGGACATCCGCAATTGTCCCTATTGCTTACCACTAGGCGTTGCTTCTATTCGTTAGCTAGCCTCCTTTCCCCTAAAGATAAATGCATATGTTGTTAAACATCCAATCGAAACCCAAAATATATTCTATGCCAAGTTCAGTCATATACTACGGCCTGTTGCGGATCAGGAGAAGGAACATGGTGGTTTTTCGTCATCAAGACTCTGACACTCCCTCTCGCCCCCTCCAGGGAAGAATACACAAAGAAGAAGGACATTCACTGATAAAAAAACATAAATTGATAGGGAAAAAAATACTGAAGTAGGTACCAGGAAATAAGAAAATAAAGAAGTTACCTTTAATGTACAGTTCAGTAGACCTGTTGACTTTTGCCACGTGGTTGGAAGCCACGCAGGTGTACGTACCACAGTGTTCTAAGGAAACTTTCTTGATTACTAGGGCACTGAAGAGCTCGGAGTTTCTTTCTACAACCTGAGTAGGAATATAATTTATTAGTATTTTAGTTTTGTTTTTCATCTAAGACGTAGATGTGTTTTTAACATATAAATTCACAACCATTTTCTGTGCCGATACCGAAGCTCCACTATGCAGTTCCCCAGCTACTTGGACCGACTCTCTTTTAGCCCCATATTAATATTAGATTGCTAAAAAACATTATTATACTAACTTTCAAATTACTAGAAATCCTCTTGCCATCCTTCAACCATTCAAAATGTATCGGCAAATCTCCAGTTCTAACGTTGCAGTAAATATTCACAATTTGACCTTCTTGTAGGTTCGTTCCAAGTAACAGATCATCTAGAACCGGAGCCTCTATCACTTGGATCTCAAATGCTCTTCTAGCCATTTCTCCAGAAGGACTTGTAACTATGCAAGTATAAATAGCACCATTTAATTCCTTAGAAATTTCAGGGATGGAAAGTATTCCATTTATGTTCACGCTTGGCGCGTTTCTTCTGGTTTTTCGTTTTAAATGGGACCTTTTGTATCTGGATTGGAACATGGCGTTTGACGTCAACAACTTTCCTTGGAATTCCCAGTCGATTTTGCTGGAATAGTAACGTTTTCGGTTAGATTAGGTCTTTGGCATAAGTAGGTATAAGAATCATGTTATGATCGATTTTTTTATCCGTTAAGAATAAAATGGTCGTTGTGTTTAGAGCTTGATAGCATTGATATAGAAGATACATTAACTAAAAAAGAAATCATAATATCAATTTATGTATTTATTAAATAAACTGCTTAAATGTGATTATATGTATCACGAATTGCATAAAGTATGTATGAAAAAATCAACACCACCCTTTCAGTTTCCATTTTCCGACTCGGTCTTCGTCAATAAGATCGCCCATTGTATAATCTGTTTTGAAATTGTGTTCTTCGATGTTATGTTGTGTTCAATAAAGTATAATAATGTGTAATAACTTTCAAAAGACAGTAACGTTATTGGAAAAATTGCCAAATTAAATTAACCTGTGCGTAAATTAATGTAAGGTTCCTAATTATTATTGTTACCTTATAGGATATCCATAAAAAGGACATCTCAAGTTGACTGATTCTCCGCTTTGAACTTTGACAGGAGGGAGAGACCTGATGTAAGGGGGACCTGAAAGTACGAAAATTAAGTCAGGCAATAGTGGGACAAGCCAAGGGCGTACCCAGGATTTCAGCTAGGGGAGGAAGCCTGTTTCGAGAAAAGGTATTAAATCAAAATATGTGACTGAAATGATACTTTTTTTACGATTTTAACTCTCATTTGCAAGGAAAATTTACGTTTATTCTATCTTCTGTTCCTACCTGGATACGTTCTTGCAGCAATAGCTAACCTATACAATACAATATACAATACACCAGAAAAAAAAGAAAACTTTGTTATTTAGATGCAAAGACCATCAATGTTGTCTTGTGAAAAAAAAATTCAAACAGCTTTTTTTCTAATCAATGCATATGTATATTCCATGTTCAGCAGCAGCTTACAAGTATTTAATAATTGTGTTAATAACAGTACCTATACATAGTAATTACCTTGCATTACATACATACTTAAGAGAAAAAAAGAGATTAAAATTACGGCAACTTATTTGAAACCATCTTTTGTAAAAAGCTATCAATAAATTTAATTTTTATTTAAAGTATAAAACAAAAGAATTTCATTAAATGACAAAAATAAGAGGACTGACCGACAGACTGACACTATATCTTCAAAATTTTGTTTGACATTCAAAAGTGCCTGTAAAGGTCTAATTGGAATAAATGATTTTTGACTTTTTGACTTTTGACTTTAAGTCAAAATTTCTTTTCCAGACTCGACCTCGATTCAAAATTGAATTCTTACCATAAACATCCAGTCTATTCTCATGGGAAGCAACATGATCTCCCTCCCTCGCAGTACACGTGTATAGGCCTCCGTCTTCCACTCTGACTCTTGTGATATTCAGTTGAGCCACCACTGAGTTATCTGACGTCATTACTTGACCTAGTGCGTATCTGAAAAGTTATAAACCTAGATTGAACCTTGAGGGATATTGTTTAAGGTAGAAAATAAAATGTGATATAATTTTTCGCCATAACTTGAAAAATTAACATTGGAAAATCCATCTAATGTTAAGCTATCGGAGTCAAGCTAAGGCATACGCAACACCAGAGTCTTTTAGGGAATAGGGATTGGGGATAAATGGGGGGAGGGGGAGCATTGGGGCTCCGGTAAACTTCATTCACGCGGCGAAACACAACGCAATCACAATAGTTGTTTCACGCCGGTTTTTTGTGCCGAAGCTTGGCTCTCCCACATTTAACGTGTGATTGGAAATGGGAAAAGAATCGTTACTATACTATACATTAACGAAGTTTCAGTCTTCCAGGAGAATTTTGTATTTGGAAATATATCGTCGCACACTTTTTACCCCTAAATTTATCATTTTAATTGTAAATTAAACATACCAAATTGAAAAATAAATAAAATACGACCATAAAATAAAGTGCCGAAGGTATAAATTGGAAAATACCTTGGATCTGTATTACTAGATACGATTATGCCGTCTCTCTCCCACACGAACTGAGGAGGTCTGTCGCCAGTGGCTGCGCATTGCATGCTGATCTGCAGAACACATAATGTCCAAATCATTAGTCAAAAGAATCAAATAAAAAATATGTCCTAAAAGCGGTATGTTTTGTTTAAAAAACCACGCGGGTTTCGATAAAAACAAATTCAACCAAAATCGATTTAAAATTTCATTTAATCTGGTCGTCTAGTCGTGTTGTTATTATTTTGACCTAATTTTAATATTTTTATAGCTAATTAAAGAGTAAAAAAACAAATTCGCTTCATCTTGTTTTCTTCTCTTTCTTTTTATAAAGTCAAATAAACTCGATGTCAAAAATCTGTATTTCAATAAGACCCCGTTTGAACGTTGATTGTGAAGGTAAAAAAAAACCGTGCCCCAGACTAGGATTTTCTCATGTGTCGTTGGTGCGGTTACAAATATACAATTTTACATAAACAAGCAAACAAGCCATCCAAACCCGGACAAACAATTTGTGGATCCACGCAAAAAATTGTGTGTGAATCGAACCCTCGAGACGGTACACGGCAGCTAGTTGCCCAGCCACCGCACCAACCGTGCAGTCAAAAAATTTTCTTATACGAAAAAATCTTTTTTGAATTAGTCAAGTTGGAAATTATCCTAATTAATAAAATACTCACATCGCCACCTGGAGTGACAGTTCGCTCAGTAAAATGTTGAGTTATGACGACTCGCATATCCGCCAGCCTTTTTCTTCTATCCAGACCTGAAAGAAAGAAAAGATAGAATTAAAAATATTTTTCAAAATAATCTTAATTTTGTAAATAACGTACGTTATGACACAATCTAATAATATAGGTATAAAATTCTCGTGTCACAGTTTTCGTTGCCATACTCCTCCGAAACGGCTTGTCCGATTTTGATGACATTTTTGTGCGTGTCTATGAGAATATTTTTAATTTCTATTCTTTTATGATACAACTTACAAAAATACATACAATCCTCGGTTTTCACATATTTTTCTATTTATCATATTTTTTAATTTCTATTCTTTTATGATACAACTTACAAAAATACATACAATCCTCGGTTTTCACATATTTTTCTATTTATCATATTTTTTAATGTCTATTCTTTTATGATACAACTTATAAAAATACATACAATCCTCGGTTTTCACATATTTTTCTATTTATCATATTTTTATATTTCCGATCATCAGCTTATAAGTAGCCCATAGATATTTTATATTTTCATAAAGTGCCCACTGCTAAGCAAAGGCCTCTTTTCACACGGAGAGGGTATGAGCACTAATCACCATGATTGTTTAAGGTGGATTGGTGATTTCAAACTTATAATTTTTCCTTTCATTGTCTGGTAAAACATCAGGAATGTACTTACTTAAATTTAACCGAAGGTGGGGAACTGGTGACCTGTGACACAGGTCTAGTCCTAGCTTTTCTAATTATAAGACCTATGCCTATTGTGAAGAGAAAATAAATTATTATTTTTTATTTACAATTGCGACACATTAACCTCCGGGCCACCACGACGTCCCAAATAGCAAAATTTATTCAGTAGGTAATTTATATTTGAAAGGGTAACAAACATTCGTCTATCCTTTCTTACAAACTTTCGCGACTTTAGGACGTGCGGTAGCGCGTCAAGCCAAGTTCTAATGAAACAGCTGACGAACAGTGCCCTGTGTATAAGATTATTATGAGTCAAGTAGAAATATTAAACCTACTTTGGTTTAATATTTCTAAGGAACATGTGTAAGTAAATTGAATAAATCATAAAGTGATATCATCATCGCGTCGGCTTCGTTTATCATTCAATACATTATGTTAACAAATAACATTTGCAATAATATGAACAATATAGTTAAATTATATAAAGACAATAAATCCGCATAATTGCATAGTATAGAACAAAGTCGCTTTCCCTATCCCTATATCCCTATGTAAGCTTAAATCTTTAAAACTGCGCAACGGATTTTGATGCGGTTTTTTTAAAGATAGAGTGAAATAAGCGGAAGGTTTATATGTTTAATAACATATTCTTCGGCACGAATGGGTCGGCTCAACCAGAGTGACACCACGGGCTCTCAGAATAATGACGTGAAAAAAACGCTTGCTTTGTGTTTCGCAACGTGAATCAGGTTATCGAAGGCTCAATATTCTTTATCATTCCCAAATTTCCGATCTTCAAAATAAATTTCCAACTCCAAAGAGGTCGGCAACGCACTTTTCACAATCCTTTGGTGTTTTGAGTGCCTGTGGTTGGCGCTATTGGCGCTCGATTGCCGGTCTACTTCATAAAAAATAAATATTATATAACAAAAAAATAATTTTTAACAAAAAAAAAAAACAGTCCTGTCTTCTGGCTCCATCATCAGGTCGAGTTCGAACATTGGCAAATTGTAGCGTTGTCAAAAGCCAACTACAACCACATGCAAAAGTACCACTCGCCCCTACAATTCTTGAAAGTTTTTGAAACAAAAAAAGAATTATCAAAATCGGTTCATAAATAACGGAGATATCGGCGAACAAACATAAAAAAGCCATAAAAATATAGAAAGTACATTTAATTTGCTTTCCCAATATAGAGGTTCCTTGTGTGTTCCCAAATAACCCAACAGAGTATAGCATTTCATTGAAACTACATTATATATGTGCGTTCTCTCTTGACACTAAAATGCAGGGTAAAATCAGTAATTATCGGCCTTCTAAATTCAAAAGCCCAAAGGGTAGAGGCGTTAATAGCCATTTAGTGACGTCACCATCTACCTAATTTACATGAATTGGTGTCTGGTTTAGTGTTGCTAGGCAACAGTTACGTCATCAATATGGAACTGATATACAGGATGGCCGTAAAACGTTGATTAGAAACTCCTGCCATAGTAAGCTAGTCATACAGTGTGTTGCAAGGAAATTGATACCGCTATTAAGTATTGAAGTTTGGTCTTTATGGAGTATTTGTTGGGTAGGTTTTTGATTGTTCAGAATCGGTTAGTGTTTTGTTGCATTTTTGGAAAATATATGCATATAAGTAACAACAAAAAAAAAAACAATAAAAAAAGATTGCTTCGTAAAAACAAGCACAGCTAATAATAGTGTAGGTATGTTTCTTTTTATAAGAGTTTAAATTTAGGTAAGCTCGTCGCCCGACCTGAACTAGACTCGAACGTAAGCCATGTAGCGTTCTGTGCGCGCCTCAAAGAGTCAGCAGTCTACAGATGGGACCCAACAGGGCTGATGTTAAACCAGGGTTGCAATGGAAATATCACACCGCGGCTTCGGCCTGGGGCAGCACAAGGAATGAGGTGTTTTTTTGACAGTAAAAGCCTGGAACTTCCTCTCGGTTTACCAAGAGCTTGCCAGAAGTCATTAAGATTGTTGGCATATTTAGTAGAACTTGCTTATTTCTTGCACTTACCACCAGATTGTCTCTGCATGACTCAAAGGTGACTGGTAGAGAATGCACCGCCTTTGTACAGTGTTTTGGACATGAAGTGTAATAAATAAATAATCGTACACCGTCAAAAAAAAAATGCTTAAGCTACTGTCCAACAACAAAACTGTCTGTTTGTTATTTATATAATTGTCATCACCATCATCATCCTTATCACTATCAGCCAATAAGAGAAGGCACTAATGTTCCAAAGCTTGCTTACCTAACTCCTGACGAAAAAAAAAATTAAAAACACTTATGATCTTATATTTAGGTACGAGCGTGCAACTATCTCTGTCCTCAAGTACATCTAAATATGGTTTCCCAAACACTAATTGGCAGCAAATGTGTCTTCGAGTAATCAGTCGCGGTAGACGCCCGACGCTGTATCCAATCAGGTTATGAATTTATATATGTCACTTCATTTAATTAAACTTTATGCTACATAGGGTTCTTAACAAAGAAATGTCTTGTGAAACTTTTTTTTTATGTAATAGGTCGGCAAACGAGCAGACGGATTACCTGATGGTAAGCAATCAGCGCCGCCCATGGACACTCGCAACGGAGGAGTTACGAGTGCGTTGCCGACCTTTTAGGGATTAGGGATTTGGAGATTTAGGGATTGAGGAGGGATTGGGGAAGTGGAAGGATTGGGCCTCCGGTAACCTCACTCACACGGCGAAATACAACGCAGTGGTTATTTCACGCCGGTTTTCTGTGAGGCCGTGGTATCACTCCGGTCGAGCCGACCCATTCGTGCCGAAGCATGGCTCTCCCACACTTGATTGTAAAAGAGTAACCATGGAGTTTCGTGCTCGTTCTTCTCCATACGAATTTACACTTTGGACCAAACAAACAGTAGCAATTTGTAAAACACTTTTTATTTATTAATTTAAATTTCATGCACAATGGGGAGGCACAAAGGCGGACTTAAAGTCGGCATTTACTACCAGTTGAGGCCTGGGATGGGATGAGCCAATGGTCGGTGCAAGAAGCAAGCAAACGACTTAATTACATGACTCTCATATGATATCTCATGACTCGTTGATATCATATAATTTTTTTTTCTTCTTGGCAATTGTCACTGGCGGCGAATAAATACATATATATACGAGTACATTCAGACATATTCAACACCTCTGCTATTTTCGACAAAAATACAACATAACTATCAACTTCAACTTGGAGTTCCAATCCTCATGCAGAGGCTAGAAGGGGTAATTGGGGGATAGTATCGTACTTTTGTGGCGTATTTTTGGTCAGTTATTAAAACCATAGTGTGAGAAAGCTATGCTTCGGAACGAATGGGTCGGCTCGACCGGAGTGAAACTACGGCCTCGCAGAAAACAGGCTTGAAACAACCACAGCATTGTGTTTTGCTGTGTGAGTCCAGAAGCCCAATCCTTGCCCTCCTCCAATCCTGCCCAATCCCTAATCCCCAAAAGGTCGGCAACGCACTCCTAACTGCTCTGTTGTTGCTGGTGTCCATGAGCAGCGCTGAATGCATACCATCAGGTAATCCGGCTGCTCGTTTGCCGACCTATTACATAAAAAAAACCATTATTTTCGGTAGTGGCAGCAACCAATCTGAATAACGATTGGTTGCTGAGAAAGTAATAAAGGTTAAAATTCTTTGAACGATATGAATAGGTAATATAAACCTCAAACTATCATTTTCAATTCAGTACTCGCCAAAATTGCATTCACACTGACGTCACTATGTTAAGGTACTAAGGTTGATTTTTGGAAGATCTTGTTATAGAAGCTGTAGTTCCATTTACGCGTATTGCAGTTTCGAACGCCTCAGGCCTTTGGTGTGGGGTTCTGATGGAAACTGACGGACATTTAATTGGTGAGGTGAAATTGGATCGTTGAAAACGATAGTGAAGATATTTTTTTGGATAGAATCTTTTATCTATACTTGCATATATTATAAAGAGGTAAAATTTGTAAGTTTATATGTAGGGGGTAATCTTTGGAACCGCTGGTCGGATGGCCAAAATTCTTTCACTGATAGTCACATACAATATTCCTGAGTGTTATAGGCTATAAAACATCGCGCTATGATCAAATGGAACCGAGCAGTAAGAGAAACCGCGCGAAAATAGCTACTGACATATAAAAGATTACACATATGAAAAAAAGATTGAATGAATTAGTGTTTTAACACCAAAAACACAAAATTGCCATTTTGAAAAAGACTATTATAGTTTCAAATTACAGCGATACTCTTTTGCGGTATTATAAATTACAGCGGTACGCAGCTGACTGGAGTTGACCTGAGTCCGGTTTTCAATTCTTGTATTCGATATTTAATATTTTTAATATTTCGATTTTATTTTTAAATTTAATATTTCGATATTCAAGTCAATTTTTGCATTCATAAGAAAATTGGACAAACCGCACCGACTGAAGACGTATTATGCCAAAAAAATTCTGTTAAAGTGTGTTACATGGTACCCAGAACCCCATCAAAATGATTTCATATTTCCATTTTGTCCGACAGACATGACACGACAGACGCGCGACGCTTCGTATTTCCGATACATCCAGCCGCATTTGTGCCCACGCCGACCGTTTAGCAGGCACCGCAAACTTCAATTAACCTAAACGATTGCGTCTACCTGTCCATGCTGTGCACTGACGTCACACGCCAATACGAGCGTGTAATATGGGCGAGAGATTACCGAACATTATGGCGTTAACCTAATTGCTTTGTTTTGAGGTTATGTCGAAACTGTAGTTATGGTTTAAAATAATTATGTGATTCATAGCCGTCGTGGTGATCTGGATATAAATGTAACTGCTTCATGTATGAGGCTTTGAAACCTGGTTAGTAACTATTGCGACTTTTCTTGATTTTTTTTATGTGATAGGTCGGCAAACGAGTATACGGATTACCTGATGGTAAGCAATCAGCGTCGCCCTTGGGGATGTCCATGGGAGCCAACCACGGAGGAGTTACGAGGCGTGTTCGACCTTTTGGGGATTAGGGATTTGGAGATTTTGGAAAAGGGAATGGATTGGGGTATGGGAAGGATTGGGCCTCCGGTAACCTCACTCACACAACGAAACACAACTTTTTTCTATGAGGCCGTGGTATCAACTCCGGTCCAGCCGACCCATTCGTGCCGAAGCATGGCTCTCCCACAATAAATTCATATGTAACTTCTAAGATTATTTACAGACCATATTATGTGGTAAAGCAAACTTTTGTGAGGAAAGTTGGACTTATGATTGCTAATTATTGGTTTCTTCAGCGCTATGAGCTGGGCAGCGTGATGTTCAGACTAATTCCATGTGAAAAGAGGCCTTTGCTCAGCTGTGAGTCAGTGATATGATGTGTTTTGAATGAATAAGTAAGTGTTCTGAAATATTATAACTTTATTCTTTTTTTTCCTAATGTACCATGGTTTTACACGCCCATAAAGTATTGTTTGGACTTAAATGCTTTCCAAAAATGTTGATATAAATTACGCGTTTTGGAATAAGGTCTTTTCCATCCATTCGGGGAAGGGTAAGAATTGGGCCTCCGGTAACTTCACTAACACGGCGAAACACAACGCTGTAATTGTTTAATGTACAAAAATTCTTCACAATATAAAACTGAATTTTTTGTCCTGAACAAAATCTGTTGGGGAAATCCATGTGAGAGTTAGGCGAGCTACACACGCCCGTGGCACTCAATTCAGACATTTGAGTCGGCTCCCAGAGATAAATAATGGCAATAAATAATCTGCCCGTGACACCGGTCGTGTGGAGTACGCTTTACTTCGCGTCACCGATTGTGTGAGGCCGCTTGTTACACCGTTCATATTTATCGGATATTTTTTTCGTTATTATTTTGAGGATTTTTTGTAGAGGAATAATAATTAAATTGACTCAATTTTCCTACTCTATGAGAGGGAGTGTCAGACTTTTACTGACTAAAAACGCTAAAGTTTAGCGTTGTGTGTCGCCGTGTGAGTAAAGTTAGCCGAGGCCCTATCCTTCGACTCCTCCAATACCTCCCCAATACTTAAATCTCCAAAACCCTAATCCCCAAATAGATCGGCTACGTACTGTTAGGATGGCGAACCTAGGGTCCTTTTTTAAAAAAAAAACACTTGTTACTGCTAAAAGGATGTTTAATTAAGAAAGGTTACACTAAGACACACGGGTTACACAACAACTGAACTCTCGACACGGAATGTACGATATGTACGGCAAAATGGCTATGACTGACTAATTAGCATATGGAAAATACCCTTTAATAATATTGGTAACAATATGGTCACCTTAGCCATCATTTGATGCTTTACAAAGTACTTTTATAATAGTACTCGCACCTCCTCCGTTCTTGCGGGGGTTTATAGGCGGCGCTGATTGATTACCATCAGGTAAAACGTCGGATCCTTTGCCGTCCTATCATATATAAAAAAAAAACATAAAACACCGCTCACTTCGGTGTAACAACAAGTCTATGTTTATTGGAACGCCTTTTGTTGTCGGTCGGTAGGTTGTTTTGTTTTACCGTATAACCGTAATGATTCATAGCATACGGTCCAACGCCTTCGTGACTTGTGTTATCCACTTTGTTTTACTTAACTTAGGGGATCAAGCTTTGTTTTACCGTTGATTATGGGGTTCAATCTGTTGATTTACTTTTGTTTTGATTTTGGATTAGAGATACAAATGGCCCTGGTCAGGATTGTTGGGATAACACAACACACAGTCGAAGGGATGCGATGTTTTTCAGTCTGTAAAAGTCTGACATTTCCACCTGACCCACCCCAGATGGGAGAAGTCATGTTTTTCCCTTGTGTTTTTGTATTGGAAATGTAGTAGTGTAATTTTTTAATTTTTTTTATTTACTTATCAAGAATATGAGAAAGCCGCGTTAATATTATAACCCCTTGACACTTCGGTTATTTCCTCGCTTTCTGAAGAGGTTTTTTTATGGAATAGCTAGGCAAACGAGCTGATGGATTACCTGATGGTAAGTAATCAGCGCCAGCCATGGAAACCCGCAACGGAGGAGTTACGAGTGCGTTGCCAACCTTTTAGGGATTAGGGTTTTGGAGATTTAGGGATTGGGAGGGATCGGGGGAGGGGAAGGATTGGGCCTCCGGTAACCTGACTCATACGGCGAAACACAACGCTGTGGTTGTTTCACGCCGGTATTCTGCGCGGCCGTGATATCACTCCGGTCGAGCCAACCCATTCGTGCCGAAGTTTGGCTCTCCCACAAATACATTATTTATTTACTTTAGTTATTTAGGGATTATAGGAGTATATGTATATCAGAGACTGATGGCATAGGGCAGTTAGCAAGCAGGCAAATTGACAGTAACAACCTGATGGTAAGCGGTCGGCGATGGCCAAAAACACTCCCACAAAATGGGAATGGAATTCACTAGTTTAAAGAACCAGTGTGTTCAAGGCCATTGAGGGAATTTAAGGGTTAACTCACTCACACAGTGAAGCACAACGCAAGAGTTGATTCCCGCCTGTATTTTGTTAGGTTGTGGTTTCAGTCTAGTGGAGCCAGTTTTTTTTGTCAGGGGAAATCATCCAATGACTTCTCCCGCCCAGGGCGCGGCGGGAGGGAGTGTCAGACTTTTACTGACTAAAAACCCCCCCGTTCCTTCTCCTGGTCTGGGCCGAGGTCGCGGTGCCACATTGCGCTTACCCCGCAACCCTGGCTGGTGGAGCCGACCCATGACTCTCCTATATTTAAGTAGTGTACTGCGCTTCCGGGCTGGAGGAGAAAAACGAATAGACTGGCGAAATGACTTATTCATTGAATGATTGTCCACACACAAAAAAAAAAGATTTCCACCAGTTTGTAGTGTGGCTGTCGTCTCAGTCCAGTCGAGAGAGCCTATAGCTCTTCCACACTTAAAGTGATAAGCCATTCAAATTTCGATTATTCGATAATTTTCGATAATCTCCAATGAGGCCGTTTACTTACTTGACAGATTTTTGCAACCGAATGTAAATGACCTTAATCTTCCACACAAAGGCGTGTGACATTTTCACTTGAAGCAACATCTATGTTGTATGCTTGGATAATTTTCTATATCCATCCACAAACAAAAAAACCTTTGATTCCCATGACATAGATATATATTCAATTTTCGATTCGTATCCATTGAATCGCTCGGATCCTGTCAAATAGATACGCGAATGAATTTGTCACAAGTGTAATATTGAAATTGAAACAGTACCTACGTTTTTTCGGCTGTTCCTTGACAAAGGGATGAGCCATCCGAAAGATGGAAGTAAGCGAAAATAGATCTTATTTGCAGAAGGATTTGTGAGAATAATTTTCGTTGTTTTGGTGTGAAGGATACAATACATAGAAAACGTTATTTAGATACCTCAGTGATTGCTTAAAACTATTTTTGATGTTCAAACACTACCAACATTTTTTGCAATTTAATTACCATACTACCAGACTGATTCATGTTCTTGTTTTAATTTTATAATTTCTTTCTTTTAAGTAATATCTCTGTAAAAAAATAATTAAAATATGAATTAATTTTGATGGGGTCATATCAGAGATAAAAACCACTAAAATTTTTTTTATATAAGAAAGGTATTTTTGGAACATGGACCAAAAGTGGTTGTACTATACCTGTACTGTAGTATGCTGACTACTGACTGACTGCATTCCGATTGACTGATGATAAGCAATCGCCGCTGCCCATGGACATCCGCAACATAAGAGGAGTTACATGTGCGTTGCCGGCTATTCGAGATTTCCGGAGATTTAGGGATATATCGGGAGTGTTGGTTCTAAGATAAGAAAAATGTAGGATGTCACTGTTCCACTGACTTTTATAATTCATCACTTCACTTGATAAAAAAGTCATGGTAAAAATCAGAAAATATATACTAACTAACCTTACTAAATCTTACGTTTGCCCGAGAAAGAATACCAATGGCATTAAGGTCTTCTGCATCACCATAGCTTATCATGAGTGCATTGATGAATAAATAAATACAGACCTGTTTTTAAAATATATAATATTTCATCATGTATAAATTCCAGGAACACCGCTTTTTTTCAAAAATATTATTTAATTTTATTTCCTTTTGGTTATAGATGTTTTTGGGGATTTTTATAGTGGGCAATGATGAGAAAGGGGCAGCATTGGGTCTCCAGTAACCTCACTCACACTGCAAAACACAACACTGTGATGCTTTCACCCTGGTTTTCCTGTGAGGTCTTGCATATGAGAAGAAGCTTGGCTCTCCCACAATTAAAACATTGTTTATAAAATAATATAACTTTAAATGCTACAGTAAAATACACTGGTAATTCTGTGCTGCCTTCTCTTCATCGTGACCGGAATCGAATGTCAAAGCTCATAAGTTTACAGCCGATCGCACACAGTCGCTCAGTCGGACGCATAAATACGAGAATATTGTGTTTGCACTACACCGAACCGAGAAATTATGATGTACATATGATATTGTGTTATTATATATTGATATGAATCACTGATATTGATATTTACAAGTACTAATATCATAAAGTATTTTGTGGAGTTGTCGTGGTGGCCCGGAGGTTGAGACACCCGTTTCTCGTGAATGAGAGTGCGGATTAAAAACCCGGTAAGGACAAACGTGTCCCAGTTCCTCTCGCTCCGCACCATGGCCTCGACTAAGGCCAGGCGCGAAACAACTTCTCTGAGAACACGGCGGTGCTCAGCCCGAGCAGTTACTCCACTACCGTATGCTCCACCATGTCCCTTTGGGTGGTCCGCACAATGACGACACTCGGGCGTTTCCTCCCGCCAGATACAAAACAGGAACCTACCGAAGCTGCCGTGCCCGGTAAGCACCTGCGTCAGGCGGAATATGAGGACGCCGTGGCTTTTCTCAAGCAACTCCTCAAAGAGGGGTCTTACCGCTGCTATAAAAGCGTAACCGAAATCATAAGCTAGTTTATGATTTTTTAACTTATACCTATATATTAGGAGTCAGTGATCTGCTTTACATTTTTTTCTGGCCTATTATAACTTAAATTATATTATATAGAAGACTATTTGTAAACACACTTAAAAGTAATATTTAAAATTAGAATAGTCGTAGCATAGCCTAATGCCGATAACGAAACCATAGCGCGATCTAACTCGACGCTAACGCCATCTATTGAGCTAGAAAATAACTGGTAATCAACAGTCCTGTCTTAAGTCTCCAAATCCCTAATCCTCAAAAGGTCGGCAACACACTCGTAACTCTTCTATTGTTGCAAATAACTGATTGCTTATTGTCAGGTAGGTAACCATATAATATGGTCGTATCCCATCACAGTATACAAAAGTAAATCTTTAGTAGTTCAGGCTTCGTTTGCGTGTAATAGTGACTTCCTGCAGATTTTTGGTAAAAAAAAAACTATCCTATGTTCTTTTTCGAGTTCGAAACTGTCTGTACCAAATTTTCTCAGAAATCAGTTCAGTACTAACTTTTAAACTTTCGCGTTTCATCTTAAGAACATTATATTTACGCGGGTATTAACGCGGACGCCCTACGCGTCTTGGACATTAAAATAACCGCGAGATCAGATGGGTCCTTATCGCACTGTGTATACCGAAAGCCAACTCACACTGATCGGTACCTACATGCAAAGTCACATCACCACCCCCGACACTTACAATCCGTGATGATATCACTAAAAAACAGAGCATATGACCTCTGTGACCCTGAACATCTGGGGCAAGAGCTAGACCATGTTCAGGAGGTACTTAAAAAGAACGGATATAGTGTAGGGGATGGGCGACTATTGCGACCGCTGAAGAGAGCCAGACATCCAAACGTGAGCAGACAACCTGCCTTCATGCCTTATATCAAGGGTGTGACAGACAAGATAGGATCCGTCCTTAAAAAGTTTTCGATCCCGACGATCTACACACCTGAGGCTAAACTTCATGATAAGGTAGGCACGGCGAAGGATGTACTGCCGCTACAAAGCCCAGGGGTTTATAAGATCAACTGCAGCTGCGGTAGTTCCTACATTGGGCAAACGAAGCGGACCATTGCTGAGAGGCTCAAAGAACATATCGCCGCAGTCAAAAACCGACAGAGCAACAAATCAGCGATAGCAGAACACCTGCTCCAGGCTGGTTCTAATCACTGGGTAGAATTCCACCGACCGCAAATTCTCTCCACTGATCGCCACTACCATACAAGACTTGTGCGTGAAGCGGTTGAAATAAAGAAATGCCCAAATAATTTCAATCGGGAGGACGGCTTTAAATTGTCGTCGACGTGGAATCCAGTGCTTCGCAAAACACAACCTCGCTTTCCTTCAAAGTCGGTTAACACATCTGTGGATATAATCAGCGTAGTGTGTAGACGGCCTAATATGGTAGAAAATGAAAATAAGGGGGTAGATGAAGATTCATCACCCGAATGCAGGGAGCTGTGACATCGCGTCTTCAGTCTGCTTGTGACCACGACCTGTGCAACCGGGTCGAAACGTCAAGCCTACCAAGGTATTCAAATTATAATTTTCCGCGTTAATACCCGCGTAAATATAATCAGTTCAGTAGTTTAGGCGTGAAGAAAACACAGACAGACAGACTTACTTTCACATTTATAATATTTTAGTTTGGATAAGTTTGGATTGTTAAACGTACTACTATAACCACAGTATTACATTACTATGTTAACAAAAAAATAATTAAATTTTGTTAATAAAAAATATCCCAGAATATTAATGTTTATTAGAGAAAGCTATGCAACCATATTATTATTATTTTTGTTATTCCCAATGTCATGAAATCCAATATTCATTATTTCAGTTCAACGAATTGTCAAAGGCAAAAAAATGCGAAAGCTACAGACCAAATTATGAAGACCTCTTTCAATAAACATTTCGAACTGTTTGGAGTCCAAGTTATGATGGTTTATCGAATAAAAATTTGGGTATAAAAGTTGAAATAGATAATATTGAGTCTTATCTATAGGGTTTTAAAATACGAAATAAAATGACAAATGAAATGTCAATCGATGGTTTTAACAGCATAATTTTACTAAATTACACAAAAAGCAGGTTTATTTGAATGTTTTACCTGAAAGAAGGGTAAAACAGGATTATGTGTGCTCCTTTTATTTAGAGCTAGCGACCCGCCCCGGCTTCGCGCGGATGCAACGCTGATACCAAATACCTCCACTATTTAATGGATGTTATTATACAATACATATAAACCT